AAAATGCTTTCCATAAAGAAGAATAAATCTATTCATTTCTGAGGCATACTGTGCCTAGAAATATAAATTATTTGACACGGACTTAACCTGGCGTTTTGACAATTGCTGCATTTATTTTCACATAAGTAAACCATCCTGTAGCCTGAAGAATACTCTTGCCATGTGGTCCAACCATATTTGAAACTGATGTCATTCTTACGGATATAGTTAGTTGGCGAAGGTATCACCTAGAATGACGTATATGACCTAAGGATTGACTGAATAGAATGATGATAATTTATGTTATTGAAATTTATATAAAAAAATAAATTAAAAACATAACAACAATCTTTGTATTACGCAAGAATTAAAAAGAATAACAAAATTAACAATTGTTAAAGGATAGTAACATTCAACAAAACATGTTAATTAATTAAGGGCGTTCTTTGGGTGCATTATGAACTACAAATATATATTTAGTTCATTGCGAAACCCTTTGAACAAAACATACCGCTTAAGTTTGTAACTTTTGGAAATCACTAAAACAGCATGAAATAAAGAGAAAATTTAATTGTTTTATATATAAGATTGAAAAATATTTCATTTGTGAACACCAGCTATTCTATTTCACGAGTGGAGTAGCCACTCGTGAAAATATTGCATCTGGTGTTCACTCAGTGAAATATATTTCTCAGTGAAATATATTTCAAACTAAACAAATATCCACTATAACATGATGGTTCAGGTTTGCTACCATTTCTGAGTGTATATGACTCCCTAATGAAAAAGTGTGTACGGAGCAATTTCAAATTACTTATCTCAAAATAAAACGGGGAAAAATATTAAGTTGTTAATATATAATAATTAGCATGTAAAGATGAAAGTCCCACAGCACAAAAACGATATACATGTAATTGTCAAAGTTAATGTGGCTAATCTAAGCACATAGTGCTAATGAACAGTTAAACATGCAGTTGGTGTATTTTCTCTGTCCAAAATTGTTTCAGCTATCACCACTTGACTAAATTTGATGGACTTTGTCTGAGATCATTATTAGTTTTGCCCCTAAAAGGTTAACTTTCCCCTTTCATAAACAAGCTTAATTTCGACATATGAGTCAATGACATATGACATATGAGTCAATTACACGTAAATGAGAAAGATAATGCTAACTGTGGGATAGTTTCCTGGTCGGATTTACGTTGTTCCGGATAAAAACACCGCGATGGCTTCAGCCAGAATGATGTACATGTATTAGCAAGGATCGACAGTTTCGTGATAATTTAATGTAATATATTTTATATAATTGTTGTGGAAATACGTCTTTTTATTTCACACCTTATATAAAACAGGGTTGTCAGCGTTTGAACCATGTGGTGTGCCAATAGAAATGTATAATAACCTCAAGGAATTGTAGAAAAAAAATGTTTCTTTATCATATATACATTACATCTGCCTCTTTTAAATAATAAAAAACAAAAAAAACAACAAATAACAAAACAGCTGTTATCAAGGATTGTAAATATAATACAAAATGTATCTCTTACAAATCAACTGTGATTAATGATTGTAAAATAAAACCTCTCTAACAAAACAACTGTGCTCAATGATTGTCATTTAAACCGTTCTAACAAAACAACTGATCAAGGATTGTCGAATAAAAACCTTTCTTGCATATCAGACCGGCGTTTCCGTTAGTTTTACCCATGCCGGAAATTTCATCTGGCATGGGGGGTTCCAGATGAGTCGCGTGCTGTACAATGGCACGATAAAGATGACGTCATTTTACCGTTATGAATGATTTTGTAATTCATACGCTGTTGAATGAAAGTAGTTACGGTTGTAATGATATAAATTTTCATTGAAAATAAAGATAAAGAATTTAAAATATAATGGAATATGGTAGAATATGCAAGAAAAAATATCTGACATATGTTTGCGGTTCGGATCGGAATATCCGTCCCTCGGTCAACCGCCCATGGGCGGGTCACCTCGGGACGGATATTCCGATCCGAACCACAAAATATGACAGATATTATTACTCTAAGAGAACAGCTGCGGTCATGCATTGTAAAATAAAACCGCTTTAACAAAACAAACTGTGGAATAATAATATCTGTCATATTTTGCGATTCGGATCGGAATATCCGTCCCGAGGTGACCCGCCCATTGGGCGGTAACGAGGCTTGCCGAGTTACCGCCCATGGGCGGGTGACCGAGGGACGGATATTCCGATCCGAACCGCAAACATATGTCAGATATTGTTTCTTGCATATTCTACCATATTCCATTATATTTTAAATTCTTTATCTTTATTATATTATTTTTTCACCTTATTGTTATTTAAATGGGGTAGTTGGCTATGTGGCAACGTGGGCTACAGTTTCGGCATAGATTATATTGGGTATGAAGACATTGTAAAAGCTATGTATGACGTATGACCTAGGTAAGGATAGGTTAGGTTTAGCAGAAATGATGAGTTATTATCAAAATTTGATGAAAAACGTCTTTCCATTACGCAGCAAAATTATTATTGTTATAAGTCAATAAATCATTAAAAACTGATAGAGGATTGTTAAATAAAACTTCGAACAAAGAGTGTTAATAGTGTGCTCATTTTAATGGCATAAGATAAGGTCTACTTCTACTTAAAACTCCTGAACAATCATGTACTTCTAAAGCTCATATTATATAGGGTACATATATTTATAGACGCACACCCTAATATAAATTCGGTTTACTTGGTTAAAAATTAAACAATACAAATATACAATGTTTACTTGATAAGCTTAGCTTATTTATTTATAACATCTTTTATTTTGTGTGTGTTGTAAAGCAATATGGATGTATTCGTTCTCCCTTATCTATTCCGCGGGTTGGGCGTCCGTGGCCGAGTGATTAAGGTCTTTGACCTAAAACCACTTTTCCCAAACCGATGTGGGTTCGAATACCATCAGGGACTTTTGAGTCTTTCATGTGTGGAAGCTATCCATGCAAACTAGCTTATGGAACGTCGGTGTTCTATTCAGGTGCCCGTTCGTGCCTGAAATAATGCAGAGAGGGGCTTCCGGTGTCTTCTTCCCATCAGTAAAGCTGTATTGTCGCTATAATATGACATCTACTGTGTTGGTGCTCCAAAACAATCCACTTGAGAAACTAAGGATAAACATCCTGATTATTTATGATGCGGACTAAATCTTCTTTTACTGTAATGCATAAACGTTATTTCTCTCAATGGTAAACATTTGCAGTTAATATTCACATAGAACCAGACTAAAACGACAAAAGACGAAATGATATAGAACCTTCTTATATACATGTATAATGCAAAAAAAACTTTCATAATAGAGTCTATCCAATGATGGTTATTTCAAGTCCCATTTGACTATAGTCCCATTTTAAGCCAAAGTTTATTGTATAAATGTATTCTTAGTGAAGTTAAAAGTTCTGAATTTGACCACTCCTAGCTTGCGCTTTGTAGTTAAAATCCACTTAAAACCCATACTAAAACAAAAGACGCAATTAATTGCGCCTTCTATTATATGATGCAAAAGACTTCCATTTTAAATCCTTAAAATACCCAGTCTATTCAGATACGGCTATTTTAAGTCCTATTTGACTCACTATGACAAAGAGGGAAGTATATTTAATTTTGATTGTGTCACTGATTGGATCCCGGCATTAAGTGGTTATAGTAATCAGGAAATTAAAGAACAAATGTACCTAAATAAGTGACACGTAATTTTCAAAATGTTCATCCTGTCTATTTATGTTATTGACTGCGACATTATCAGAATTGCAATAGAAACAGTCATATATGCTATGATACTGTATACAATAATATCGAAGTATGATATCAGCGCCTATTCTTTTTGTTTTGTTTTACGGCACTCCAACCCAGGTTAGGTCATATGGCGCCGAAACAGGAAAGATTAACCGCAAAAAGTCAGTTCGTTCTTAATTCTAATAGGTCTTTTGTTTAAATCTCCTTCCCAATTTAATAAATGGTAAGATTTTGGAGTAACTATTATGGGTAAGTTTTATAAGAACAAGTGAAAAAAGTATTCCTAAAACACAGACCAGCGCTTACACTCTATTACAAGTAGAGATACTGATAGCGAACAGCATGGGTCCTGATCAGACTGCGCGGAAGCGCAGGCTGGTCTGGATCCATGCTGGCCGCAAACGCACTATGTTGGTTTTGTCATGGCGCGGCTCATTTAATTAAACAGCACTATGTGATTTCATTGATGAATATTGCTTAACAGTTGGATATATCAAACTGTGTATTAGGAATGTCATCTCATTAAAGTACATTACAGTATATCACATTATGCACTTTAAGAAAGGTGCAAGAAAAATACTTCATTACAATGTAATTAATTGTATATTGTACTTTGAGCTTAATCATACTTCACAAAAATATTTTATTACTTTGTACTTCGGAAACAATGTGTGAAAATAAATAAATAACTGCATAAAAAAACAAAGGAAGGAAATAAGGCAATCTTCTCAATATTCAAGTACTAATGTAAATTTCAGAACATTTAAGAATTAAAGGGGCATAACTTTAGTCAAGTCAATGAAGAGGTCTATGATTTATATTTCAAGTAAATGTCCGATCAGAATTCAGAGATATATGTAGATCTATTATAGTAAATGTTTATTTAAAAACAATGTAGTTAACAAGAGCTCTCAATAATACAGGGTGCTCGACAATTATCAGTGCTTGATAGTAACACAACCTTGGTAATGTAGTCTAGAAATTTGCAAGTTTAAAAGTGGCTATAATTCTGTCAAAAGCCATGTTAGAGTAATGGGCATATAGTGACATATCTGTGTTCCCAAATAGTTGTGTATAGTTTCAACATATTCCACTCAGTAGTTTTTGAGATACATACATGTACCTACATCTTTATACTCTAACAAAGTCAACCCTATCATACACCCCACCCACCCCTTTTATCTCATGTGTGATGAAAGTATTAAACAGGAATGACAATAAAACAAAAACACAAAAATAAGTAACATCTTTAATCATATTCAAAATAAAGACAAAAACAAAGAGTACAAAATAATCCTTGCGTCCTGTTATCAAAGGCTGACAAGTGACCTTTGAAAAAGAGAGCAAAAGAAGGGCTCAATAATTATTTAAAAGTAAGGAATGAGTAGGGACTTAAAAGTATGGCTATTAGGTGTATTTATTTTTGTTCCAACAAAAATGATATAAATATACTGCATTGGAAATAGTATACAAGATCTTAGTACTTGAGGCTGTTGTTCTTGTGCTTTGACATTACTTTAAAGTTATTTTACTGTATAGTCATCTATTACACAAGAACAACTCTTTGACCTGGTCTGTATGTATCCATCACATCATAATTCTTGTAGTTATATTTCAACTTAAAGAAGACTTAATTATGTTCCTGATTTATATATTTTTATTTGACTGCAAGGCATCCGAAAAATACGGATTTTACAGTAGTGAAATATTGGGTTATATTAAACAAGTAGGGAATTTACGAAAATTTGGGCCTACTTAACAGCCCGTGTTACTTCAATTTCTGTCAGAAAATAACATAAACATTTACATGTATAAGGTACATTTACAGCAGATGTGTTTTTTTGCAGTTAAACAATTATTGCTGAGATGCAACTTAAATTCTGTTATAAATCTTGTGACAAACAATTCTGCAATGTAACACATTTAGATAACACTTCAACAAAATCCTTTCTTTGTTCCTGGCAAATCTGTATTAAAATACATCACTTCAAATCTTGCTGTACTAAAATGCAACTGAAATTACAACATAAGCATGTTAATCAATTATGTCATATAGGTAGATCACAGGCAATCCCTTGTCATTGATGATAAAAGGTAATCAAGTTCAAATTTCAGCTTTGTGGAGCCCGCACTCTCAGTGCCTGAAAGGGCGGATGGACCCTTATTCAGCCTAGAATACATACATTTCAGCTTTGTACATGATTCAGGTATTCCTCTACCATTTATTTCTACATATCATATGTAAACAAGCTATTGTAATTATTAAAATAATCAATCTGTTGTTTGCATCTTCATGTTTCTTTTATCCCAACATAAAATGTTTATAGTAAAGATAATGAGTAGAATTATGCCAAAACATGACACAAGTGGTGAACACATGCTGATAGGAACACATTTCTGTCAGGTTTCTCTAATCTTGTACTGCAGTAGCATCAAACAATCCTGCAATAAAATAAAACAAGTTTTCATACATTCATATATGTGTTTTTTTAAAATTTATTTATTGTTATTGAAACTAGATTTTTCAAGAAGAAGAAAAAAGATGTGCATAAACACCATACTTCCATCAATCCATATTTCATGTTTCATAAAAATATTTTCAATACCTCTTAGCTATCACTGGATACAGTTTTTGCAAACAAACAGATGACAAACCTTAACTCATAGGGAACTAAATAATAAGCAAACTGGTAAAGAAAGATCTTAGATGCTGTCTAATGCATTATTTCAGTTTTAAGGCAGGCACCACAGAAGAACACCACAATGATGAACCACCATTCTTCTGTGAGCTGGTTGGGTAGCTTTCTAGCATGAACAGATTCATAGTCGCTGATGAGAGGATATAAAGTCAGTAAACATCACAACTTTCCATTGCCTGCCTCATTTAAATAAACTAGTAAGTGGTAATCAAACCAGAAACCTATTACTACTAAGCATACAGCTGAAATAAGAGCAAAGTTTTCTTTTTTATTCTTAGGATAACCCAATAAATTAATCTGAGACTAAACGAATTTGCTTCCGTGTAATATTTATACTGACATCTCAATAAAATCCTTATTTTCTTTACAAATTTCATCACAAAGAATAGCAAACTAATACCTCGTCTCCAAAGAACTTATTCTTGATTTTCTCCAAGGTGAAGTTATCTTCTTCTATAGTATCACCACAACAAAACAGCTCCACCTGGACATAGAGAAAATATCCTCTTGTTAAAATATCTTCTAAAAACCTTAATTAATTCACTGCAGTATTTTATAATTAAGTTTAAACAGTTTAAAAATTAACCAAAATTCACTTAAATATGCTCACTGGACCTAGATTTGCTTCTCCATAAAATTTGTATTGTTAAATTACAAAGCTATTAGGACAGTAAGGATGTATACCCTAGCCCTTAATATTCTGGCAGGACATATTTGTCATTATAATGCTGCATATTTGTAACATCACTTTTCATTGGATAATTGTGATGTTTGTAAAGTTTTCTATCCACAGCTGCTGTTAATTTATGAAGGCATCTCACTTTTTTTCTCAAAACAAAAACAAGAGCACCGCTAGGCGGAGCATTATATGCCCGAAAGTGTTTTTTTTAAGTAATGATGAAGCATTTGTAAGACTTGGGAATTAGCTGTTCATCCTATAAAATTTTACAGCTGTAGGTTGATTAATATTTAAGTTATTAATAATGACCTTAACCTTTGACCTTGTGACCCAAAAATCAATAGGGGTCTTCTACCTTGTATGGACAATCATCTTAAGAAGTTTGAATATTGTGGGCCAATTGGAACTTAAATTATGCTCTAGAAACTGTTTTCAGTATTAAGGTAAAAGTGACTTTGATCTTGTGACCCAAAAATCAATAGGGGTCTTCTACCCAATATGGACAATCATCCTATGAAGTTTGAATATAGTGGGCCAAATGGAACTTTAGTTATGCTCCGGAAACTATTTTTGGTTTTAAGGTAATTGTGACTTTGACCTTTGACCTAGTGACCCCAAAATCAATAGGGGTCTTTTGCCCAATATGGACAATCATCCTATGAAGTTTGAATATTGTGGGCCAAATGGAACTTAAGTTATGCTCCGGAAACTGTTTTCAGTTTTAAGGATATAGTGACCTTGACCCTTGACCTTTTGACCCCAAAATCAATAGGGGTCTTCTACCCAATATGGACAATCATCCTATGAAGTTTGAACATTGTGGGCCAAATGGAACTTAAGTTATGCTCCGGAAACTGTTTTCAGTATCAAGGTAATAGTGACCTTGACCTTTGACCTTGTGACCCCAAAATCAATAGGGGTCTTCTACCCAATATGGACAATCATCCTATGAAGTTTGAACATTGTGGGTCAAATGGAACTTAAGTTATGTTCCGGAAACTGTTTTCAGTATCAAGGTAATAGTGACCTTGACCTTTGACCTTGTGACCCCAAAATCAATAGGGGTCTTCTACCCAATATGGACAATCATCCTATGAAGTTTGAACATTGTGGGCCAATTGGAACTTAAGTTATGCTCCGGAAACTGTTTTCAGTATCAAGGTAATAGTGACCTTGACCTTTGACCTTGTGACCCCAAAATCAATAGGGGTCTTCTACCCAATATGGACAATCATCCTATGAAGTTTGAACATTGTGGGTTGAATGGAACTCAAGTTATGCCCCGGAAACTGTTTTCAGTTTTAAGGTAATAGTGACCTTGACCTTTGACCTTTTGACCCCAAAATCAATAGGGGTCTTCTACTCAATATGGACAATCATCCTATGAAGATTGAACATTGTGGGCCAAATGGAACTTAAGTTATGCTCCGGAAACCAAATTGCTAACGGACGGACGGACGTTCTAACAGGAGAGTAATTCTACTAATTGCTACTCTATTGTTCTCTTTATTGTTCTTTTTAGCCACACAAAAGAAAATAGCCACATAAAAGCATTACGGAATGAATAGATCAAAGAGAAAGAACAGTTACCTATTGTCCCTCTAGCCACATAATTACTTTCCTGTGAGTGCGGACAGACAGACGGACGGACACCAGGGGGTATAACATAATATGCCCTTTTGGGCATATAAAAAGAAAGCATTTGCTGTATTATAAATTTGTTATAGATATTCCTGACATGTTATATGACGAGTACTTCTATAAAAGTTTTTGGAAATTAACGTGAAGAGTGTATAGGGGCCCATATAACCCTAAGATAAAATTTTAATAATAATAATATCAGATGTTTGTTTTTAAACTTGAACTGAAACCTTTGACAACATGTCAATGTTGGTTCATACTGTTGGCTATGGTTTTTGTAACACATGTTATTATACATAGATAAATATGACAAAATATGACACTACCTGTTTATTGCTGTCAATGTTCAATTTCTTTCGCAGGAATTCACAAACATTGGCCACTGTAGCACTGCCTGTCACTCTAATAAACTTCTTCTCTAAACTTTCAAAAGTTTCACACTCTGTCGTATCACTAAACAAGAAAAAATAACATTCTATGCAATTGTGTAAATGTCAAAGGTTTATAACATCAAAAGGCTCACCTTAAGCATGATAGTGCTCTTTTTTTTCTGGCCAGATGCTAAAACAACATGACTTAAGATGGTAAGATAATTTTCCTGCTTTTTTTTGTAGGATAATGGATCATAGATCCTATGATCAAATTTCAGATTATCAGAGGTGAAAATAAAAAAATCAAATGATATTAGATGTCTGTTATATAAATTGCAAAAAAGGAATATCTTTGAATGTTTTTGAAGAAATTATTTCTCTTATAAGTCGTCTTTATCACAATTTCCTTGTAAAATTGTGCCACTCATGGAAATCATCATTTAATAAATTTGTAACTTGTTTATTTTACTGAATATCATCTATTTTTAATTGATTTAATTACGTTTAATATCATGAAACATTAATTCATTCATAATCTTTAAAGTGACATTATGCCCATCCGAGAGTAAATAGTGAGTGAACAGTTGAAATAAAGTCAAAATAAGTTAACAATTAGCCATTATTCCTTTCAATGTTATAATCTATTTCGCATGAAAGATAAATACTTCGCATGGCCCAAGAAAATTTGTAAAAATATTTATCGAAAATTACGTGTAACATTCTATTTTCAAAAAAAAGAGTGGGACAGTCTTTTAATATTTTGAGCAGATTTATATTTTATTCTAAACATTTTTCTTTAGCAGTTGCTGGTCAATCGCCATTATAACAGTCAATGTTTTGATATATAATATATAGTTAATTCAGCTCAACTTGAAGATGAACAAATGAGCATAATGTTGCTTTAATACTTATAAATGTCATAACATACCTTTCTGATTCTAATAATAGTGACACCATTTGAGACTGGTCCCTGGCTGGTTTGACTTCTTTTTCTTCTGGTGGGGAAACTTCATTTTCTGGTTCCTCTTTTATTTCTACAAAACATTGTTCATTCAACAAACATAAGAGAGAATTATTATGAGATCCATGCAGTTGTAACTTTTACACTTGTATGTTCATGATTTGATTGAGTTTAATATCTCACCAACACAGTAAAGGTCATATGAGCCGTGCGATGACAAAACCAACATAATGGGTTTGCGACCAGCATGGATCCAGACCAGCCTGCGCATCCGTGCAGTCTGATCAGGATCCATGCTGTTCGCTATCACTTTCTCTACTTGTTATAGGGTTTGTAAGCGAACAGCATGGAGCCTGGTCTGACTGCCCCTATGTAAAAGTTTAGGCTGGCCTGGCTCTATACTGGTGGCAAAGGCTAATAACCTCTGGTTACATTAAGTATAGGGTAGACTAGCCTTATCATCATCATCATCGGATACCCACGATTGATAAACATGTCACATAACATGCAATCAATGTTAATGGTTCGGCCGTGGGTATTCGACAATGTATCATCATTTGAATATCATTATGCTTGATATACAAAACAATAGAAACGTTTGTGAATAACTTGTATTCTTTTCCTTGATTCACGTTACTTAAAACAGCAAGATGGTCTAATAAGTAAATTTTGATAGGATAATCAAAGGAGTATAATTATAATAACTCACCTTTTGGTTTATCTTCTGGATGTGCTTCATAGAAAGCTTCTATATTCCTCATCTCGGCTGAAATATATATTAGTACATGGATAAAAGTAAGGATCTTAAACCGGCTGCCAGTACAGACCGGAATACCTAGCACCAGAGGAACTGTTTTCGGCAGTAACGAGGCTGTAATGAAACAGCCAGTGTTTGATTCTTTTTCTTGCATATGATATTTTGGAAAGAAATTACTAAAACTAACTTTTTCATTTAGCACTTTTTTCTTATAACAGATCTAGTGTATGTATTTACAACTTCATTCATAACCATACAATGACATCATCCTAACAAGGGTGCCATAGTCACAAAATACGCCCGTTTACGAAAAAGCTTTAGATGGAGATGGGGGCATTATGGATAAGTGTTATCTAGCAAGCAAGTTTTTATTCTTGGCACTGTGTTGTTAAATGAACCTTAAAACAAATCAATAGGGAAGATAATGCACAGAATGTGTGACCTTGACCTTGGTCGCAGGGACCTGAATTTTATGCACTGCACTCAGCCTCACAATGATGAACATTTGTGCCAAATTATATTGAAATCCCTCTATGCATGTAGAAGTTTTGCTCCAGACAAGTGTTTTTCTATGAGCTCTAACTGTGACCTTGACCTTTGACCTAGAGACTTGGTTTATGTGCAGGGCACTACGTCTCATGGTGGTGAACAATTCTATAAAAGTAACATTAAAATTCCTCCATGCATGTAGAAAATATGCTCCGGACAACATCTGGATATTTAATCATCTCCAGTGACCTTGACCTTGCAAATATTAACCTAAATTAAATGTGTAACACCTGTAGTCATGATAGTTACCATTTGTGCTACAATCCATCAATAAATGATGACTAAATGGTCCCTATAACCATCTTCAAATTTTTATCTGAACTTTGACCTCTATGTGTAACCTTGACTTTGGTCGCAGGGATCTGAATTTTGCATGCGACACTCAGCCTCACAATGGTGAACATTTGTGCCAAGTTATATTGAAAACCCCCTATGAATGTAGAAGTTTTGCTCCGGACAAGCGTTTTTCAATGAGCTCTAAGTGTGACCTTGACCTTTGACCTGGAGACCTGGATCATGCATGGAGCAATACATATCATGGTGGTGAACATTTCCATAAAGTATTTATAAAAAATTCTTCCATACATGTAGGAGATATGCTCCAGACAAAATCTGGATATTTCACCATCTTTAGTGACCTTGACCTTGCATATATTGACCTAAAGTACATGTGTCACAGCCGTAGTCATTATAATGACCATTTGTGTTACAATCCCTCAATAAATGATGATTAAATCGTCCCTATACACATCTTCATATTTTTATCTTTTTTTAAACGGGCGTATAAAAAGTACATGTAATTTAATAACTAAAAAATTCTGATTTAAGATTTTATTCTAGGGAAATACATTTCATTACAATTCTTAATCTTTGAATGAGCTGAACTGATATTTACTTGAAAATTAAAATATAATTAAATTTCTATGAGAAAGTATTTACATTTGATAAGGTAATTACTGTATGATCTTTATGAACAAATACCAAGTCTACAGAACACCATAGTTATCACAGTTAAGAATCTTGACCAATGAATGAAACATGTGTAAATAAATGTTACATTCTTTAGAACATACTCAAGTCCAAGAAAGAGGATTATTTCATGCCCTTTGATTAAATTCTATTTTTAGAATTGAAAGTGAAAATAGATCAAGGGGAGTAATTGTGTAAGTCATATATGAACAAAGTAATAACTTTGTTGTCTCCCTTTGATTAAATTCTATTTACAAAATCTGGATATTTCATCATCTTTAGTGACCTTGACCTTGTATATATTGACCTAAATTATATGTATCACAGCCATAGTCTTGATAATGACCATTTGTGTTACAATCCCTCAATAAATGATGACTAAATGGTCCATATACACATCTTCATATTTGTATCTGAACTTTGACCTCTATGTGTGACCTTGACCTTGGCCGCAAGGACCTGAATCTTGCACGCGACACTCCGCCTCACAATGGTGAACATTTGTGCCAAGTAATATTGAAATCCCTCTATACATGTGGAAGTTTTGCTCCGGACAAGCATTTTTCAATGAGCTCTAAGTGTGACCTTGACCTTTGACCTAGAGACCTGGTTCATGTGCGCGACACTGCTCCTCATAGTGGTGAACATTTATATGAAATTTCATTAAAATCCCTCCATTCATGTAGGAGATATGCTCCGGACAAAATTGGACGCCGCCCGCCCGCCCGCCCGCCAGGGGCGTTCCCATAATACGTCCCGTTTTTCAAACGGGCGTATAAAAAAGCAATTCATTCATAAAAGGCGTGTGGGAATGATGTCATTTAAAACACAAACTTTAAGTTGTCTTACATGGGGGGGGGGGGGGGGGGAGGTTTTTTCTAGCATCGGTGTAAACAGTAGATAATCCTGTCTGATATGCAAGAATGTCATATGTTCATATACAGTGGACCCTGGTATCAGTGTTATTCAATGAAACAGTAGAATAAGTTGTACAAGTTTGGTGCAATTCCATCTTGAAAATGGTATCAACAACAAACATATACAAAGGGAGACAAGCAATAAATAGGCTACATTTTTTAAAAACCACCAGTCATAAAAAATCAGTTGTTTTAGAAGTGTATAAAGCTATACTGAACAGTCTGTAATCAGTAAAATATTTGTTTGCATATAAGTGTACCAGGATAAAAATCATACCAAATAAGAAAATTACAGGAATGATGTTAGCAGATATAAATAGAAGTACCAATACTGCAGGTTGTGTGTGCAATATTACACTAAAATCTGCTAAAATTAGCATTTGAATATTTTGATGAAGAATGTTTTATTCTGTTTCCTAAGACATATTTCATGCATGCCATACAATGAGATGCGGTGGCTGCACTCTGGTAAATTCAATGTTGCTTTCTGCCATGATCCGGAGGTTAAACTTCCAAAACCACAACCACCAATGAGACACTTTTTTATTAGAAAAAGAGAAAAAGAATTGAATCCCTAGAGAACGCCAAAAATGGCAAAAAATACGCAAAATTGACAATTTTTCAAAACTCTCTCCAAATATATAACCTTAACTTCAAGAAATGTGTCTATAGATAGATAGATAGATTTATTTCGGCAAAAGGTAAACATGTTACATGATTAACAAACACAATATAGATTAAAACAATTACAAACAAGCAATTATCATACTAGTATTGCAAGCAATCCATAAGTCCCCTACCGGTTAGAACCCCAGCAACATTCTGATGGGCCATTGGCCATTCAATTTTACCAGTGAATGAATGACATGCATGAACTTAAATCTTTTGAGTTCTAAGTTTGTCTATATCACAGTAATATGTTAAGTTTCCCTGCCTAGTAAGGAAATTATGTTTATACAACCTTGTCATATTATTACGATGTGGGATTTTAAAGTAAATCCTATAAGGAATGAAGACTTTGGAGTGAAAAATACCAATTTCTCGAAAAAAATCTAAGTTCAAGGGGGACATAATTCTGGAAATAGTCTTGCTAGAGTATTTAACCTTCTCAAAAATGTTGAGTGATAATAAGAAACATATATATGAAGTTTGAAGTAGATACATTAGGAAATAAAGAAGTTATTTAAAAAAGACATTTTTTTTCATAAAAATTATAATTTCAAGGGAGGTAATACTGATAATTTTTGTGCTAGAGTTGTAAACCTTGTCACATATGATGTGGTTGATGACCAGAAACTTATATTTAAAGTTTGAAGTAAACACCTTAAGAAATAAAGAACTTATAGTGAAAAAGCTGAAAAATCAGCAATCTTAAAATTCAGGCTATTTGTTGCCATAGCAACCAGAATTTTCAACATAGGAAGAAAAGAAAAAGATGTGCATAATCTCCAGACTGCCATCTACCCATATTTCAAGTTTCATAAAAATATTTTCAGTACTTTTTGAGTTATCACTGGATCCAGTTTATGTGTTAAATTTGCCATATTTTCAGACTATTTGTTGCCATAGCAACCAGAATTTTCAACATAGGAAGAAAAAAAAAGACGTGCATAATCTCCATACTGCCATCTAACATATCAAGTTTCATAGAAATATTTTCAGTACTTTTTGCGTTATCGCGGGATCCAGTTATGTGGATGGACAGACTGACAGACAAACGGACAGACAGACGGACAGAGGGTAAACCTAAAGTCCCCTCCGGTTAAACTGGTAGGGGACTAATAAATAAATAAATGTCCATAGTACATGTATTCATCTCATCTGTCAGTCTACACAAAGAAAGCATGACACAGTAATGGACAGATAAGAGCATTAAAAATCACTTACTTTCTGCCACGTTTGGAAGAATCTTATATACAATATCTTGAATCATTCTATCTAACCTGAAAAATAAAACACACTCCCTTTTTTATAATGTTTTTCTCTGTGATAGTAAAGTACACATTTGATAAAGCACTGAGACGTTTTATTTGACATATGATTATTTCAGTCAATCTATTTCATCCTATCTTTATAGAAGTCTTAATATCAACTTTATTTAAGAAATAAAATATACCAAACTGTGATTTTATCGCTCAATAACATCACTGTTTGGAGTTCGGATGCGAGGAATTATATCACGAGGGCGTAGCCCGAGTGATATAATGATGCGCATCTGAACGACAAACAGTGATGTTATCCAGTGATAAAATCACCGATTTGGATATATTATTTCGATTCTAACACGACATAAACAAAAAAATGCTGCTGTACCTGCTAATAAGCAAAATTGCGCCTGGTTTGTTTCCGTACTAATTGTCAGCGCGTTGGATTTTATAGTGGTCACGTCACATGTATAATGATTCCGTCACATGTCTAAATATAGAGTGTCAAACAGTGACTCTATTGCATAATAACACACACTTTCGGTTCTTCTATGTTCAATAGGGAAAAATGCGGGTCGTGTTAGAATATACATTATATCATTTAGTTTTAGATTTACATGATGGTCATCAATGAAGAAGACTGATAAAGCTACAGAGATGTGCAGACTGGCCTGGCTTTAGTTTAAACATATTCATTTTAGCTGTGTTGCAAAACAAGTTCTTGCAACTCATATTAATCACATTCGACTCGGCTTCCTGGAACCAACCAGTACTGATGTCATATGAGGAATCATGATCATGACCATAGTAGCGCTCAAACCTGTGCTTCCTGGGTTGAGAGGCAGACACACAAGGCCACCGCTTCCCTTTAGTCTCATGGCTTTAAACCTTCAAATTAACTTTTAAAAAGAATACGTAGTGGAACTGTGCTATAAACTCTAAAGTTAAGAAAATCCAACCACTGTTTGCCTCATGCTTAATGCCTCATCCCAACAACTTAAACATTGTATACTTGCACTGCAGACCTTACTAAAAGTAAGTCATAAAGTTTATATATATATTATAGTTGACATGAAACAGAATATATTATATCATACATAAATCCGCAACTTACTACAGAAAATGTAAATAAATCTGCAACTTACCACAGAAAATCTAATGAGTTTTGGAGATACCAATTTGAACACAAAAATTTAACCAAAGTGTGACGGTCAATTTTGAAACAGTTGAGCTAAACCATCTTACCTGATATGTACAAATGGGTCTGTGGGATGTATCAGAATGTTGCAGACTGGACAATGTAAGCTCACCTCCATACAGTGTCGTACTATACAATTCTTACAGACTTAAACAAAGAGAAATATAATGTTATTCATAATGAATCATTAGTAGACAAACAATAAATATTAGATACCTGTTTATTTTTGATAATGTGAGTGAATATAGATAATAACTCGTAAAGAAGTGACAAATTCCTAACATGAGCATGTTAACCCAGGCAGTAAAAATTCATGTTTTTCTATTAAAAAAGATTAAATAGTGACAAGTGAGTTCCAAGCCTTTTTTTTTGGTGGACAAAGACCTCATACGTCCATCTAAAAATTACTTAAAGCGAGAGCAAGCACCCTTGTATAACCATCAACATACTAGAGACTAGCTCCAAAGTCACCTGTGGAATTTATCATTTAAAGCAAAAAATGTGGTGAGAAGGAAGTGATTGAAAGACAGTAACCTTATCAAAGCAACCACAGTGGCCCAACAATTTACCATGAAAACAAAACAATTTACCACAGAGGCCCAACAATTTACCATAAAAAAACAATTTAAAAAGGAGTCAGGCCAAACAATTTACCATTGAGAGCCAACAATGTACAACTAAGGCCTTATAATTGCATCAGGGAAGCCAAACAGTAAACCTCAATGGCCCAAAAATCTCCTTGTTCAACAATTACCGGAGGGTACATGTAAGTGCTTACAGAGGCCCTACAATATGATTTTTAATTAAATCTTAGCAATCTTGTGACATTGGGGAATAGAAAGGGAAACATTTATTGGGCGGGAATAACTTGAAGTGACAGGATCACCGAAAACTTTACCAAAAGATGTAACCCTATCACTGTACTATGAATATAAAGAACACTTTATTAAGTACACTGACCATTGTTTTATTATAACAAAGAACTAGAAATGTGTCATCATGCCACGGATGCCCCCGCATGCAGCCAAAATTTCAAATGTTATAATATTTAGTTCCAAATTTGTTTGCACAAATTATTTTTTTCATTCTAAGTTCAAAGCCCTTAAAACTTTTCAATGTTAACACAAACCATTTTTATACAATGTTCAAGGCACTGAAATTATTCAGTCTTAACCATTTTTATACAATGTTCAAGGCACTGAAATTATTCAGTCTTAACCTTTTAAAAATAGCATATTGCATATTTGTAGCCAACATAATGGCTATATACATTTCCACAAAAGTATGAGTGCTGAAACTGAAAGTTCAAAATTTTTCCAACATTCAGGAAAAATAAGTTTGTCTAAAATCATTGAACCACGACCAAATTCAAACTTAAACTGCTTATTCCTAAGATGTATCTATATTATTTTCAAAGTGAAAGGGACATAACTCTGCCAAAAATCATCGAACCATGACCAAATTCCAACTTGACCTGCGCATTCCTTTGGCATATCCATATGTCAATTTTGAGTTGAATATATAACACTGTTGGGTTGATAATGAACAGAAACTGTAAATTTCATATCATTTTCAAAGTGAAAGGGGCTTTACTCTGCCAAAAATCATTGAACCATGACCAGATTCGAGCTTGGTCTGCGCATTCCAAAAACATATCCATATGTCAAATTTGAGTTGAATGTGTAATATTGTTGGGGAGATAATAAACGGAAACTGAAAATTTCATATTATTTTTAAAGTGAAAGGGGCATAACTCTGCCAAAAATCATCGAACCATGACCAAATTTAAAATTGACCTGCGCATTCCTTTGATGTATCAATATGTCAAATTTGAGTTGAATGTTTAATACTGTTGGGGAGATAATAAACAGAAACTGAAAATTTCATATTATTTTCAAAGTAAAAGGGGCATAACTCTGCCAAAAATCATCGAACCATGACCAAATTTGAACTTGACCTGCCCATTCCTTTGACGTATCCATATGTCAAGTTTGAGTTGAATGTGTTGTACCATTGGGGAGTTAATGAATGGAAACTGAAAATTTCATATTATTTTCAAAGTAAAAGGGGCATAACTCTGCCAAAAATCATCGAACCATGACAAAATTTGAACTTGACCTGTATTTTCTCATGACATATTAATATGTCAAGTTTGAGTTGAATGTGTTGTACCATTGGGGAGATAATGAACGGAAACTGAAAAATTCATATTATTTTCAAAGTAATAGGGGCATAACTCTGCCAAAAATCATCGAACCATGACCAATTTCGAACTTGACCTGTATTTTCTCATGACATATCCATATGTCAATTTTGAATTGAATGTTTTGAACCGTTTGGGAGATAATGAACGGAAATTGAAAATTTCATATTATTTTCAATGTAAAAGGGGCATAACTCTGCTAAAAATCATCGAACCATGTCCAATTTCGAACTTGACCTGTATTTTCTCATGACATATCCATATGTCAATTTTGAATTGAATGTTTTGAACCGTTTGGGAGATAATGAACGGAAACTGAAAATTTCATATTATTTTCAATGTAAAAGGGGCATAACTCTGCCAAAAATCATTGAACCATGATCAATTTCGAACTTGACCTGTATTTTCTCATGACATATCCATATGTCAAATTTGAGTTCAATATGTGCAAGGGTTATTAAGATAATGAACGGAAACTGATGATGACGGAAGGACGGAAGGACGGAATGACGGAAGGACGGAATGACGGAATGACGGAATAGGGTAACACTATATGCCCCTGCCATTATATGGCGGGGGCATAAAAATGAGGCTAATTTTGACCAATGGTATATCAAAACCAAGAATTACAGAGCTCTTTAAGTAGCACATCCAAGGTTATGGTTCAACTCCTTAACTACCCCCAGGCAATCATACTACGTTATCTTGCAAATTTATTTCAGTGGAGATATTTTAGTTCTTGACACTGCAGTACCTTGACCTTTGCTCTACAGAACTAGGCATCCAAACATTCTTCTATCCTAATACATGTAGTATTAGTATGAACATTGACAATCATAAATCAAATAGTTATAGCTATAGAGCTCAGAAACTGTAATACCTCACAACAGACCATGAGACAGTAGCTCAACAGTTATTCCCCTTTGTTAGAAGAGAGGTATAACAAAAGGTCATGTTTATATACCTACATGTATGCATACATTCTGTGATGGTTGAAGCTTCATACAGGTACCCTTTACACAGTCCACATGTTAAATACTGATTTAAATCAACAATATCAAAACGTAATGTTTTCTCTAGTGACAACTGCTCTGGAACTTCTAAATCTTTTAACCATTTGTGTGTAGCAACTTTACACTTCTCCAGCCTTTCTAAAGTTCTTTCAGTCAGTTCTCCCGGTGCAAGTTTGGGTTTCTTCGATGGTTTGTCTGTTTGAGGTTTCCGACCCGGTTTGCGTCTCACTCTGACAGGTGTCTCTAATTGCTCCTCATATATAGGAGTCTCAGGCCGGCTGAAAATAGAATTTATAAATTTTGATGGAAAATTTTCATTTCTTATTATTATTCCTTACCCTTACTTACAATGGTTTAAGACTTATTTTATTCTTCTATTGTCAATATTAAATGCTTATATGTGCTGAATAAAGCCTTGCCAGATAAACTTTGCTATTTCCAGTCATGATGTCACATGGTTAAGCAATGTAAATATAAATGAATATTAATATAAACTTAAATATTTTATGTTGCTGTTTTTGACATTAATTTTGCTAATGTTACTTGTTGTCTACAATAATATAAAAGAAAAGAACAATTGTTTGGTTGAAATGGATTTGAATATTTGTGTATTTTTTAAGCAAATTACTGGAACTCTTTTCTATAGCAGAACATTATTTACATATAATATGATATAGCGGTTATTCGACCAAACTGAAATTCAAACACATGGTTGATGTCAAGATGGAGAAGATTAATTCGGTTTGCAGCGAAAGTAAATCTTGGCTCACTAAAGCTCACCAAGATACACTTTCTCGCTAACCCAATAAACCTCCTCTATCCCGACATCAACCATGTATTCTCTATTTCAAGTTCTGTATTATTTACAATACATATATCTTGTATCGCATTTAGATCTCATTTTTTCTGTCAATAATACTGACATGCATTTTTTTCAAAATATTCCCCAACATCTCACAATAATGGCAATAATGTATGTATTTACATAAATGCAAGACACATATCTAATTAAAGTCTTAATGCCTCCAGTACAAAACAAGACCAAACTGTATTTTCAAGCACTGCAACCTCAGATTTCAGTGAAATCATTTACTATTATCTGTTATGTTAGGACCAGTGTAATATAAACTTTGAAAAACAATTATGATTTAAATATCTGTCAACAAACAAAATACAAATTCATCTGGACATGCTCATTGAAGAAAAATAAAGGAAAGAAAGGAAAAAGAAAAATAAAGGAAAGAAAGGAAAGAAAAATAAAGGAAAGAAAAGAAAAGTAAGACAAAACACCTTTCCATTTCCTCCATATTTTGTTGCTGTACTGATTCTGCGCGATCATTTTCAGATTCACTGGACAAATCTTCTGTTGATCTAGATCTACCACTAGATTCACTGTCATACTTGTTCTCGTCTCCTGACTGATACGGCGTCACTTCATTTGAATGAATCTGTGTAGGATCATTGGCTGTTAGGAAACGATATAGCTCACGTTTCTGTATGTCATCTTGTTCCTACAACACAATAATATCATAAATCATGATACTTAAATATTACAACATAAAATGTCCTAGAAATATCTGTGTCTACATAAGAAAAACATATAAAAAAATCTTTAGCTTCAAAACAAAGATGTTCTTTGTGACAATCTACCTCATAATGATGAAACTGTATGTTGTGAATTGTTAAACATTAGTTTAGTTTAAACATATATATTTAAACTTGATTGTGAACATGTTCATGCAATTTATATCAACCATTTTCAAGTCTAATTCCTGGAACTAACCAATAGAGGTTTCATGATAAATCTAGGTTGTGACCAGAGTAGAGTTTAAAACCGCGATCCCTAGGCAGACATGGTCACACCTTCACCATAAGGCCACCGTTTCCCTTTTAGTTTAGTTAAACATTATAATGTAACATACTTGTTTCTCCTCAGCATCACTTATATTAGGTGTGTCATCAATATCATCTGGATGGTTGCTAGAATTGCCAACAAGATCAGTGTCACCTGGATGCTTGAGAAAGTCAAACAAGTCATCATCATCGGGTACATCTATAACTTTTATTTGAACATCATTAAACCTGTTGTCTTGCTTTATATCCTGATTACCTTCAACATCATCCGTATCTTTACTTTGAATTTCCTTATTAATGTCACTATCAACATTGCTTGGATCTTTTGATTCTGTATTCCTGCCCTTCACTTCTACAGTTTCAGTCAAATCTATTGCCATAGGGTGAGTTTTGTGACTATATGACTTTTTTGTACACAAGGAGCTCTCCTTCTTTCCTGAATCATCTATGACTTGTTTTTCTAATTGTGTCACAACATTTGACATTTGCTTTGACAAGACATCACTATTCAGCTCTTTGAGATCGTAATCATCATCTATATTTATAATCTTGTTTTCTGTTTTCTGATCAACTGAACCGATAGGGTTTGTTTCATTTGTATCAATTTTTATGTCCCCTTTTTCAGATACCTCTGCAAAATTCCTTAAATTTGTCTTTTCAGTTTTGACAACTTTGCTTTCTTCTTCTGTAAGATTTTTCTCTTCAATGCTTTGGTTAGTGTCACTTTTATCAATACTCATAATAGAGTTACTACTGTTAGATGTATATTCCATTAAACGGTCCATTATGGCACCAAATGATATTTGATATTTCCCCCGCAGATAATTTACAGTCGAGTTCAAACACAATGTACCTAATAAAAATAAAGAAAAATATCATATTTAAATGATTATAATAAAATATGATTTATCAAATTTAATAATCATTGATTAACATTCATTTCAGTTACCGTCCTATGACAGGACATTTGAACACATTTCCCCCATTGATAGAACAGTTAAATTTCCCCACTTTACTAGGGCAGTGACAAATCACCAAACTCTTCTCAGGTTCTTTAAGAATATCGGATACAAATATTTGTCTGTACTTCTGGATAAAGTTTATGTTTGTTTCCCTAAAGTTTTAAGGGTTGGTGACAAGTATCATATCAAGAATTTATAGTAGGCAGTGTTGTTCTCCTTTCTTTTATTAATGGGTTCATGGCTCTTTCAGTTTGAATTGTAAAAATTAGCACCAAAATGCCATTATTTGTGAAAATAGTTCTATATAATCATACTGTTAAAATTAAATAAACTAAAAGGGGAAGAAGTTTAAATCCTGAATTTGAAAATGCTTAAATTAATGATTAACACCTTACCAAGTAAAGTCCCATCGTTAACTACATCTCTTTTTCTCAAGATTTTAAGTCTTAGCTATTCATTATTTTCTCAATAACTACAATCTTATAATTGTGAATTTTTATTAAACAATTGCGAAAAAAGGATACTTGAACATTTGAGGGAATATAGGTTAAGGAAAAGTTTCTGCCTAATTTTAGATGATTTACAGGCATTTTGCATCACAGACTTTTCGGCCCAGTCTTTTGAGATGTTTTGTACCAGATTTTGGACATTTCGGACATTGAGATGGACATTTCAGACACATTGACTATAAGGGTCACTTCAGATCAAAGTTTTTTATTCAATGGACTAATAGAATCCATCATTGGGTTAGATAGAGGATAGGGTAATCCCAACCTGAGGGTGATCGGTTGGGAACGAGCCTTGGCGAGTTCCCGATGGAACCGATTGCCTGAGGGTTGGGATTTCCCTATCCTCTATCTAACCAAATGACTGATTATTTTTCTCACTCACCTGGACACAATAAATATCAGTGAAACTAGATCTACTTGGTACGCCCTAGTTTTGAAAAGCGGGGTTGCTTAATATCAACTTGGCTTAGGCGCCTGACCACGTCCGCAAAAATTTCTACTGACCAAGTTTTGGGGTGAAAAATTCAATGAAAATGAATTCATTATGAGATCCCTCATCAAAAAGTAAGTTTATTATGATAAAACACATCAAAATTAAAGTCGGAAAGTGTTCAAATAATAAAGTATTTATTAGGAATTCAGTCCATACTTAAATGGTTTGCCAAAAAGCGTTTACCGTTTGCAAAGATTTTTCTACTTTTTTCTGTTATTTGGCCCCGAATATTCAATTAAAATTTATCAAAATGAGATTGTCCATCAAGAAGCATCGTTATCATAAAAGAAACTAATGGATTTGTTCTTTCAGGCTAAGTGTCATTATATCCGATTTTACGAAAATTTTGCGATATTTTAAAGTGTGCTATTTTAGTAATAGATCGTTATTGACAAAAGGGCGGACCTAGGTAGAGTAGGACTCATTGCAGTGTGAAAGTTTATATCAATCTATTTTGATTCCATGGACAATTTAATAGATTAGCTCACATATTTTAGTACATTTTAATGTTTTGACGTTTCATTTTTGTTTAAATAGGAGTGAATCGCGTATGTGTAGGAATACGTTTTTAGAAGTGCTGCACGTTGAGTGTGAGATAAGCCCATGTGAGATAAGACACCGCTATTTTTAGTAACTTTTACGGATTTTTCTATCTGGTAAGTGAGAACATTCAGTTCTGTGTTTTTCAGAACTATTTTTGACTTCATAAGTTCATAGTATTTTGTAACATTTTCTTACGATAATTTTGACAAATATTCATTTTTTTTAAATATTTTATGATTCCAAATGCATGTAGAACAAACCAGAAGTTTTGACATTTCAGACCAGATTTTTTAATTTACCGACCAGCATGTAATCGAGTTGTTGAAATAACCCATAAAATTATTAGTGTAATTTCTTTATGCATTTAAAATGAAATAAACAATAATTGAATGCATATCTATGAGTTATGATAAGAAATGTTGTCTAAGATACATGTAACTATGTGAATGCCTTTTAATAAAAGATTGAGACACATGCCACATGTTGTGAATGCAACAAATTTAATTGATTAACTTACTCAAATCAACCACTTGATAATAATGTAAAGTAAGAACCCATTCAACTCCTAATCATACCTCGAAATCAATTTCAATTGTGTTCTGTCTGGTGCAATGGTATATATATATCTTATTATGTAACTGTGATCTATGTTGTTGCTAAAAATAAAAATAAATAAAAAAATAAGATATAATAGGCCAACAAGACATTTTATGCTTTTTGCAAAAATTTATCAATGTAGATGCAGGATTTTCACACACGTTTCAAAATGTACACACTATCGCAACTTCTCCGCTCAAAAATAATCGTCAAGGTATTCTGAGTAAAAACAGAAGCGGTGCTGTGCATGAAATACCGATTGGCGAATAACACTTTTAAAAAGGAAAATGTAAAATAAAAAATGAACAATTTATATTTTAACCAACTTCCCCGTTCAACGCCCTTACCTAATTTCATATTATCAAACTGTGACATAAAAATGATGAATTCAAATAAGATTAAACAGGTAGGTGAAAATGCCTGATCGACAAATATTTTGGTTATTTCTTATGTCATAAGCCCGATCGGGCATTTTTTTTGGTTTAAATCAGTGTATGGGTACTAGATTATATTTTGGTTATGACAGTAAATTTTACCTGGAAGAGAAACAATGGCAATCTGATCACAATTTGACTATTTTAGTATTTGTTTGTTAATTTAGAATACTTTTCAACACTTGAAAATAAAATCATTTGGCACTATATTTTTAGTAGGCATCTTATGCAAGCCAACTGAAAAAAATATGACTTTTAACTGTCTACAGTTTTAAATTCTTTACTGTTTGAATCAAAATAATGAAGAGTGCAGACGAAATTTAACTATACTTTGCTTGGTAAATATAAATAAACTGTTTTATTTGAACCGTAAATACAGACTTAAACAGAAAATCTAATAAACAATTTCAATTTTTAACATCATCCATTTGAAGGATTTAATACAAATTAATTTTATTTATGAAGCAAAGGTTCCTTTAATTGTTTTGTTGTTTTCTGCTTTTAAAAATCGTGTTTCGTGAAAAAAAGGGCCCCCGTTGGAAAAAAGAATAATCGATGCTCGGGCAAATTTTTTGATATATATCTGGCGATTGTAGTGCTGTTGAAAAAAGTTTTGACATATACTTTAAAAGCGATAAAAAGAAGCAAAAAGAATAAGAAATATTATCAATATAGTCTAATCGTATAAAAGTATCAAAAGCAGAACGTGTGAAACTATGATGACAACGATAAAAAATTCTCCTTATTCGGCAATGAATTGCAATCAACAACAACAACCCGGCTGTCAAAATTGATAAAAGAAATGCTTCAAATAGATATTCATATACCGATTTTGGTTATCAAAAATAGATGATTGGTAGGTATTAATCAATTGCATTGAAAGACCAGAATTGCTGTAGATTTGGTATTGTACATTACTGAAAAGAACTGTCAGAGGCATGAAATCGCAAACATTTTCACAAATCATGCAAATCCGGCAATCTCCTGGTTTAGACCCCTATGTATTTTTCAGGAGTAAAACATGTATATAATACACTAGAGAAAACGGAATGAACCTTATATATACTCCTGGTTTAGACCCCGGGGTCTAATCCAGGATATAGCCGCAAATCCTGTTCCAAGTGTGAAAACTTAAATGAGATGCCTATGAAAGAATCCTCTTGGTGCGAAATAAGAATAAATAAGAAAGAAAAATTGTTGATTGGTGGCATATACAGAAGCCCAAATAGTGACAATGTAAACAATGACTTATTGTTAAATTTATTTACTCATGATTATATAAAGACACATAAAAAACTTGGTAATTGTCGGAGATTTTAAAACTTCCCGACATAAAATTGGGACTCCGGTCGACAATACATAATGAAAACCATATATCGTATTAAATTTATTGAAACATTGAGAGATAATTATTTTTTTCAACATGTATATGAAAATACACGTTATAGAATTGGTACAATCCTAGTTTGTTAGATTTGTTATTGACTAATTTCAGAGGGACCTAGTCAACAACGTAGACTACGGTGATAAAGTTAGGAGCAAGCGATCAATATCAGTATAACATTTGACATTAGATGTGTAAACATTGATTTTGAAGTACTCGTTAAAACTCGTAAAAAATTATTTCAAGGGTGACAATAAAACTTGTGTAAGAAAATATTTGAGGTGATGTGGACTGGGAAGCTTATGCACAACTTTAATGATTTGTGATGTTGGGAATATTTTTTGAAACAGATTAATTATGTAAGACAGACAAGTTTTTATTCCTTTATAAAAAAAAGGTTAGCAACCAAGGCATAAACCTAGGTGGATGACAAAACTTTCACTGTATAAAAATGGTGAAAAGAAGTATCAGCTTGGAAAAGGTTTTACATACAGTCCGTTTCACTACCAAAAAAACCTATGAAGAATATTGTAAAATTAGAAAATAAAGTTTCAAAAAGGCAAGTGAGATACGCAAAGAGGAAACCATGAGAAAGGAATAGCAGATAATATTAAGACAAATGTAAAAAAAACTTCTGGGTTATGTAAAAAGAACAGGACTAAACAAAAACGGGAATTGGAGATTTGAAAAATGTAAATGGAGAAACATAATAACAGATTGATAGTAGCAAAGCTGAAGTTTTTTAAATGACTTTTTTTAACATCCCGTTTTTTTACCACAAGGAAGTGATTCAAATTATTGAACCAGTTTTTTGAGAGCAATAATTGATTCAAATGAGTATATTGATATGGTTAATCTAAAACTCTGAGAAACATTTTGCAAACAGTTGTGAATTTCTCTAAATCTTCAAAAGCCGCAGGCCCGGCAAATAATTGTCAATCCTAAGTTTTAAAAAGATGTGCTTATCAACTATACATGCCTTCTACACACGTTATTCTCAAAATCATTACAAGAAGGAAATATTCCGAATGATTGGAAAACTAGCAAATGTGACTTGTATTTATAAAAAAAGGACAAAAATCTGATCCTGGTAACTCGTACCGTCCTTGTTTCATTTAACTTCTATTGATGTAAAATGCTGGAGCGAAATGTTAGACAAGGGAAAATTATTGAACCATTTGAAAAATGCAATGAATGTTGTCGGATAGTCCAATTTGGATTTAGGGACCATAAAGAAGCACCATTTATAACAGTTATTATCAGTATTCGGATGATTGAAACTGAAGCTTTGGATGAAAATTTAACAAGTTGATTCTGTTTATTTTGATTTTGCTAAGGCATTTGATACGGTTCCCAATAAACGTTTACCTTCAATAACTTTCAGCATATGGCATTACAGGGAAATTGCATCAATGGGTTCAAATTTTCTGTAGATAGAAGAACAGGTGTTGTAATTAATGGTAATATATCCAAGTGGAGTAATGTTATTTCTGGTGTATGACCAAAGGGATCACCGTATTAGGTCCATTATTGTTTGTTATCTTTTGTGAATGATATTCCTGAAGCGTAAAATGTGTTTGTAGACTTTTTGCTGATGATACAAAATTATATCCGAATATGAGAAATATGTCCTTGATCAACAAGTACTTCAAAAAAATGACATTTAATACACTATGTAAATGGGAGTGACGACTGGTTTACTCAGATTCAACTTCTAGCAAAATGTAAAGATAATGCGGTTTGGAAAAGCAATTTGATACAAAATACAAAAATGAAAGACAACACACTGGTATTGTATGTGATATTGAATCATTGACAAGGAAAAAAGACCTAGGTATTAATTTTACGTCTAATTTGAAATTCGAATGAGCACATCGGTCGCACTGTAAATAAAGTAAACTCACATATCGGGTTGCTGAAAAAGAATTTTGTTCACATGGATAAGAAGCAATTTTTGTTATTGTATAAAGGTCTTATAAGACCAATCACACCCTGATTATGAAAATATCATTTATTACCCTGTAACAAAGAAAAATAAATCAACTAGTGGAAAATACCCAAAAGAAGAGCTACAAAGAATCATCCCTGAACTAAGAGGACTCACATATGAACAAAGATTAAGGGCTTTTGAATTTACCAACTCTTGAAATACAGACATCAACGTGGAGATATGATATACAAGTTTTTAAACTTATTCGCAAAATAGACGATTTTGACTATGAAAAGTTATTCAAATTATCTGTTACTAATCATGAAATCCGAGGACATAGTTATAAATTAGAAAAGTTAAGACCACTAAAGGCAATAAGACAAAATTCCTTCACTTATAGAGTCGTAAACGAATGGAACCTACTTCCCAGTGAAATAGTTATATCAAAGAATGTAAATGAGTTCAAATCTAAGTTAGATAAACACTGGCAATGGAAGAGATTTAAAATGGACAATATATATTAGATAGACCAATACCGGAGCGGACGACACTGAAAACGGAACTCGAGGGGAATGATAGTCCGTTAGGGGACTAATAAAGTTTCCCAAACATCACAAGATTCCATCACAAGATTCCAAAAATCAGTATCAATACAGAATATTGAAAGTCAAAGATGCCCCAATTCCAGAAGATTCTGGAAACAGTGGTTCTTAAGAGTGCCAAGTATTCAAGCGCTCGTACACAGGACCGCACTTTAAAGTGTCTTTTGGAAGACTTTTCAGTAATTTTAGTTGCATGGCCAGCTGAGAATCGAACCCACAATGTCGAGATAGTCCAACTTACTGTACTGCGCGACAAGATACATGTATTGTGCTACTTTATGTCTTAGGGCAATATCAAGACTCTGACCCAGAACGAAAATATCTCAAAATCTTGCTTTGGCACATCAATATATTTTGACTAAATGTTGAGCGCTTTAACTGATTGAGCTAAATTTCTAGCCAGCATTAAATAGAAATGGACCAAAGATGAGAGAGAAAGCTGGATGAAACACAGTTATTCCCTATTCATGTCAGTAACAGCCATGCAGGAAGATCTTGACTGGCATTCTTTGAATCAGATCAGATTAGACTTAAGTCTCATAATTTACCTCAAACTAGTACATGTAGCCACTAGCCTTCCTTAGTAACCTACATGTACATTAAAACTTCATCAAGGCTTACTAGACATTAAGCACCCCCTCTCTCTTAGGCTAAAAAAAATCCGGAAGTACATGACACATCAGATTGCCATAAGTTCTTGTTTTTCCCAAACTGTATCACACTTTGTAACCAGCTTTCCAGGAACATTGTTACCCTGCCTGATCTTGACCAATTCAAACATGGATGGTTAAGCTACAGTATTAGTTGACTTGTTGTGTTTTTACTTTAAATCTTTCCTTCACTCTTACTGATAAAAAACATTGTAACAACAACTTGAAGTTTCCAAGTCCTGATAATGTTCATTTTTAGGTTTTAACTTTTTCTCGCACCATTTACTGACACATCTGACATGCACTATTCCTGCTTTTGAGTTGGCAGTACCCAGAGCAAATTTTTGTCCGCGGTAAGCCCCATCCGCAGGGTTCCGCGAGTTTTGCAAATTCCCCGCTGAGCCTATTGTAGATAAAAATTTGAAGTTAGAATTAATAGCCTGATCAAGCTGATAATAATTTATCAGGGTTCAAAAACCCCAGGTATTTCCCAACATAGTGGATTTTAATGGTAAACTCATATTTTAATGGGTTAACTAAGGGAATATATATTAGGTGGAGAAATCTCTGTCAAAAATGCTATGCATTACCACAAGAAGTGGTGGATATTCAGACTTTTGACCTTTTGTACTTATTTCAGAAGGAGATCGTCTGAAGCTAAACATTTAAAGTTATCAAGAAATGATTGTTAAAGAATCATGAAGCTATTTCCAGTGATCTTTTTGTGGATGTTGATCAAACTGGTCACCTCAAGTGATGTGTGTTATGAAAATTGCACTGAATACAAACCTAAGTCCCCATTGGTTCACTGCAATTATTTGTAAGTATATATTTAGAAATATTGTACACTTCTTACTATGTTTTGGGCAAGGGTGTAAATGATTGATGTCTCCTTATATGCATATCTAACATGATGTGAAAAACATTAAAAAAAATATTCTTTTCTGAAATTACCCTGCCTCAAACTATAGACTGTACATAATTTTTATATGCCAATGATTTTTAACATCAGTTGATCTAGACTTTGACCCAGTGACCAACATTTTTGTACAAATTTTTTTGCAGCTTTGAACTTCGAGAACACTTTTCAGATGCATAGTAAAACTTTGATATCAGTTGAACAAGATTTTTCAGTGACATTGTATTCCAAAAATATATTCTTGTTTAAAATAACTTCTGATCCATCCAAAAAAGTAAGTAAAAATAATTATTTAAATGTTTATTTTTATGTATTATTGTCACTGTGTTCTGTTTAATTAAAGATAAAGATATTTGAATGTTATTTTTAGACCAATGGAATACCTGAACTGCAGTGAACCAGAGGATCTAAATGGAAATGAGACAAAACGAGAAGATTTAGATGGGTATGGTTGTACTAAGGTAATTAATGTCTTTTTTTACTATTTTGATTGCATATTAAAATGGTCTGACGAGGAAATCCTGAAGGTCACCCAGTACAACTTAAGTATAAATGTTGCAGTTTAGACCTGTTTGATGGAGCCTGTTAATGCATGGTAGTTGTTATTGCAAGCCACCATCCATACCCCCAGTAACATCTAAAGCAGGAATTAACTTTTATACATGAAAATGGTGATAACACGGTGATAGGGCGATTACCACAACTTTTCCGCGCAACGTCAAAATATCTTACTTCTGTCCGAGACACCGTATATTTCTGTGGTACAAAATGGACAGCAAGCCTGTAACCGAGACGAAAACAGCATATAATTTGCTCAAAACAAGGTTAAATCATCATTTTTTCTTTTTCATCGAATGTGCCATTTAATTTGAAACTTATTTATCTTTACTACATGCAAAATGCTTCATTAATTAAGTCAGGATAGTGAAAACATTTAGGGCATACTGAAAAAAATCTTGCTTTGATTACAAAATATAACGTATTTCTAGTCCGTTCAGTTCATATAACTGGTCAAAATACATTATAAATATGTACATTATTGTCGTATGAACAAGTTACAATACATAAATAACCCGTTTCTTGTATATTTGGTATGATTTTTATGTTTCCACGTGTGTATTTTAAGGCACCGCACAACTTTGTCAATCATAAGATTAGGGCACCGCATTATTCCTCCTTAAAATCACCGCATTTTTCTGTCTTTTTAGCACTGTTGATTTTTGATATTAATGTTTGCTTTCAGAAAAAAAAGGCGTTCAAACATATGTCTGAAAAAGCCAAAGCAACGTGCGAAATTGGCAAAGCTGCAGATACTGCAGCAACTGGAGAGCGCCCAACTAAGTCTTCTGCAGCAGTACGCCAATGGATCAGCGCCTCCCTGTATTTCAGGACGATATGCGTAATGCACCACATAAGAAAAAGAATATGAAGTCAAACTTTCGCAAAAGATTGTTTAAAAAAAGCATGTTGGAGACGATGACTGAAGAGATTATGGAAATATTGCCCGGGTTCCTGCAAAAACTACACCATGAAAATTTGTGTTATGACTTTTGCAACTTTATCAAATTAGTATGCAATAAGAAATTCCCATTAACAAATAGTTCATTCCTTTTGTTTCTCGATGTTGTTTGATGGTATAGTCTGCCAAGAACTTCAATCTTTCCATGTGGGGTTTATCAGTTTGAATAAGTTCGAAAAGGAAAAGACATCCATCTATATATAGATACCATTGCACTTATCTAACTGGTAGTATTAACACAGATCAGACCTTCAGAAATTTTCCATAACATAACGTATGATCACGGATTTATATAAATCCGTGGTATGATATAACAGCAACATAACATAACAGCAAGTAAACAATCTTTCATCAAACTTTCATCAAATAAAAGTTATTATAAAACATATTTGTAAGATTATTGTATAATTCAAAAGAAGACGGTTCCAGTATTTATCGGTCTAACGGAAAAAGAATGCGGTGTTTGAATTCAGTGTTGTACGGTGCTCCAATATTCGGGTCAGTAGGCCTTTTTCAACAAATATTCCCTGATATTTACGATAGAAACACACAATTTTGTATGGAACTTGAACTTAGGGTTAACCATAATAAATATACGAGCTCGTTAGGTCATAGAACAAAGACATCGTCGTTATAACACATGTTTTTTGTGACAAGTACGAGTCATGTTGAGGTACACACGATCTTTTGTAAACACTATTTCTTCGAAGTATGTGTTTTTGTGTGAATTGTATTGTGCTAGATTAACAATAAATTGTCTCAAAAATTCGATGGAATACTTAAACAATTGGAATAATCTTGCAATGTCCAGCAGTAAGATATTTTGTAAGCTATTACCTGGAATTTGTTTATCCCGCCATTAATATTTTGTCCAGAAATATACGGTGTCTCGGTCAGAAGGACGATATTTTGACGTTGCGCGGAAAAGTTGTGGTAATCGCCCTATCACCGTGGATAATGAAACACTGATAGAGTCATCTGTCAGCTTTATTGTTGGAAACATCAGGTACCTCACTGAACATTAATAAGTAAAACATCTGCTGAACATTACATATATACTCGATCAAGTTATGAAAGAGATGTATGATATTCTGTCAACTTTTTCATTAATACACTGTCTAGTTCATTGGACAACGTTAAAAAAATTGTGCTTTATTCAGGTCAATCAATACACAAAATTAAGTTTAATTTGAATGACTGTGTACAGTGAAACTTCTACTGACTGATCTTGTAATTACAGTGGGGTGGAGAAAGGTACGAGGATGTACAGAAGACTAAAGTATGGTGTGAGGTACTAGAGGGAATCCATTGTTTTGGAGAAAGAAAGTTTCTGAAAGACGGTTTTCCATGTATCAAGTAAATAACTGAGATAAAATTGTTACATCTTTTCTTTGTATTGAAGATATCAGAGAGCATTTTAAAACATTAAATAAGAGATACCAAATTTAATCATCTTTTCATCATTTTTAATAGGAGATACCAAATTTTATGCACTAAAGTGTTAAGGAGAGATGTCAAATTTTATGTACTAAAATGGTTACTAAAAAAAATAGCTAAATGACTTCTTTTCTTATAAATTAATAATTGTAAATGATTGTTGATCAGAATGTGTTATAAACCATGTTTAGATCTGAAAGAGTCTTCTTGAAAGAAAGAAAGTTGAGCTGACTCTAAAAAAGTATACAGTTTAGTGTCCAATGACACCTGAATATACGCAGTTGTAAAATTCACAACCAGTAAATTTAGTTTAAGTTTCAGTGTAACTCAGACCTCAGAAACAAATGTGAAAAAAAATGTTAAAGTCAAACCCAGGATGCAATGTAGTAAGTGAAATATTGGGGAAAAACTTGAAGCAGACAGCCATCACTGCTATTTGGCTTATTCTAGCTGGATAATCAACAAACTCAAGAAACCTGTTTATAATTTATATCATTTTGCTTCAAAATTCATATAACAACTTCACAATATACCCGTATATTTATGCTCTACTGAATTCTGAACTTACCCAGTATATTATTTTTTTTTTCAGATATAATGGTCATTATTTTGTGTCTACATTAATCTATTCAGTCCTTCTGGGTTTCTTAGGGATGGACAGATTCTGTCTGGGACATACAGGTATAAAATATTTCTAATTTGTCACTGTGTCTTAACATTAACTTAAAGGCACATTATGTCTTAGAAACAAAGAATTTTTTTACTCCTTTAGAAAGGTCAAACCTAAATTTTATAATGTTAAAATAATGGTTTTAGAGAATATAAGATGCATATTACCTGAAAATAGTAGCAAATAAATGTGAAATGCATTGTCATAAAAGTACAAAATGTAAAAAAATGTAAATACAAAATACCTATTCACTTTAACTGTGCATATTGCCTTTTAAAGAGCAACAGATGAAAAAAGATGCCAATGAGATACTATAAAGGGCACCAAAATTAAGACGGTTTTAAGGAATAAAGATAAAAGCAATTCTGAGGCAGAATTTAAATGTTTGTTTCATAAATGCCTTTACTTATTAAAATATCTGAAGGGTGTTATTTTTAGCTTGACTTTTCTAAGATTGACTATTGTACACAGTTCTCCCGAGGACATAAACAATACTGATTTTATTGGACGCGTAAACAGCTACGAAACCTATATCAGACTCAGCTAGCACTTTGTTCAATACAGGTTTGACATCTGGGTACTCATCCAATTGATTTCTGTATTGTACTCAAAACAATGTATGATAACCTCATATCGTAATATTGTACATGTATATTACAGGTACAGCTGTAGGGAAGTTGATCACATTAGGTGGTGTAGGAATATGGTGGATTGTAGATGTAGTTTTACTGGTAACTGGTGTACTTATCCCTGAAGATGGCAGTAATTGGGTACCATACTATTGACTCTCTGGACAGCAGAAGTTACCTCTGTTGGTAAAATACGTGTTCATGGAATAAATGAAAAACTTTTTTGCTGAAGACCAAAATGGAAATGGAAAATAATAAATATCATTTTTCGGGAGTTTACGATTTTCTTCAAGATCTCTTTTAATATATACTTGTACAATGATAGTTACTTCAACCAAAAGAATGTTACTGTTCACTAATCACAAATCAGCTTACTGATTTTGAAACGATATTTGTATGTTTTGGTGCATACATGTACATGTACTGGTATACAATACTTTTATTTGTATGTGTTTCAAACTTAAACAAATTGAACTGAATTGTAAAGATATATTAGAAATGCTTTATTTACTCACCTTTAAGTCTGATTGCTCATGAGGCAGGTATCCAAATTTTGCCTTTTAATTTGGTTTGATTTGGTTATAAGATGGGTGCATATAGGAAAAAAATATGGAGGGGAATTTGAATAGCTGTAAAGTAATTTATAATGGTACTGATTTGAATGGACAAAAATTGTTTGCCCTGGAATGGGCTATGATGTGAATCATGTGATTGTAAGATATATGAATTATATGATTTTAGGAGATGAGAAACATGTGATAGTAAAAGATATAATTTATGTGATTGTAGGAGATATAAATCATGTGATTGTAAACAATGTGAATCATGTGATTGTAGGAGATATTAATCATGTGATTGAAGGAGAATGATGTGATTGTAGGAGATATAAATCATGTGATTGAAGGAGAATGATGTGATTGTAGGAGATAAGAATCATGTGATTGTAGATGTGAATCATGTGATTTTAGGAAATGTGATTGTAGGAGGTGTAAATCATGATTAAAGAAGATGTAAATCATGTGCTTGTTGATGTAAATCATGTGTTTGCTGGAGATACAATATATCAGGTAAATCACATGATTGCATGTGATTTGATTTAATGTGAATCAAGTGATTATTCCGTGCAATAATGAAAATACTGACTGGTTTTGTTTAAGATATGTGTTGACAAGGAAAAAATAACATGGAATGAAGTATTCTTGGAATAAGTATTGGTTATGTCTGTTTGTTTTATGTGAATTGCTAGTATATGTCTGTTAATGTCTTGACAATGTGTTCTTTTATCTGATTCTTTATCACATAAACTATGCTTCAGAAGTGTAATAAAACCACAAGTGAAATATGATAATTTGCATACAACAAGATGAAAATAAATCCTGTATTTATAAAAAAAATAAAACTTGAATTTTCTGTTAATTTATTTTTTTACCTTATGATTCAAAAGACTACCCCTTTAATTTTGTGTACTGGCTAAATTTAGCAGAAAGTTGTCTGGCAAGACACCAGTGAAAATATGGAAAATATGTTTCACTACAGTGAAAAATAACAAATATATTTCACTGTAGGGAAAAATAAATTTTTACAGTGAAAATATGGAAAACAAAAATATGCATTTTATTTCAACAAGATCTCATCTTCATGTATAAGGGTAAAATAAAGCCATTTATTATAATTAATAATTCATAAGTGTAATAACTTTGCAATGTGACATTATTTGCTTTACACTTTAAAGCTCTCAAATTTTGGGTATTTGAGTAAGAGAATATTATACTTGTGTAGATTCATTTCTAAAATTTTTGAACTCATTGAGTAAAACTATATTGGGCTTAAATAGTATAATATTATTAAAATTGTTAAATGCTAAATAGATTTAATTTTGAACCTACGGTCCTTTCTCTTTCTATTTTAACAGTTTTATTTGATATCTAAATGTTAAATTGTGCATATCACTTTTTTCTTTGATAGTGCATTTGAATGAATATCATGGATATTTATATAAAATAAGTCTGAGTATATTATTGTATGTAAATATTATCTCTTTGTTAATATATAATATGTGTACAAATGTATTATATATGAAAATGAATAAAAAATTGTCTTATATGTAGTTGTTACAGTTTGTTGACTAAGTTTTTCTATTGTTAAACCCATTAGTCATCGAGCATTTTGTGAACAATGGCTGTTTTCAATGAAAAGCCTCCTGTTACAAGTTCAAATTGCTATGAAATTATAAAAAATGCTTCAATACTGTTCAAACTTGACACAAATGTTGACTGGACCATAGCCTATTCTAACGTAAATTTCCTGTTACCATGGCAACGAGGGGACATTTCAAAATTGCCAAAAAATCACTTTTTTGCGTTGATTTTTCCATCAAAACTGATTTCAAAGTGCTGCAACTTCTCAATTGAGATAAAGTCAAAGTCTTTTCAGCGTTGGTTACACGTTACCTTAAGGTCGACCTGAGGCCATTTTTTAGCCTCTCACAAGTCCAAAAAATATTCTTGTAGACGAGGGGGTTTCTTCCCCTCTTCTAACCCTCAAGGCACAACCCCTCTGGCACCCCCTTGATGCATCTATTTTATAGGGGATGGCGCCAAAAATGTGATCACTCTTAACATCATTTCCCAAACGAAAACAAGTGTCTGTGGTCTAAATAGGGCATTTTTTCACTATTTGTGGGAGGATGACAAGACGCCTATATGAAGTAATGGGATAAAATTAATTTTTACGTGATGTTGTTATAAGCCAGTAAGGAACCTTTTGTATTTTTCATTGGGCAGTTTATTTTGAGGTTTGCAGCCCGTAATTACATGACTTGTGGCCTTGACCTTGCACAGTGGCATCAAGGGTTTTGTACATTGCCTTGTTGTTCAAATGAACATTTGAGCCAAGTTTGAGGAAAATCCTTCAAGGGGTATAGGAGGTATACATACACATGTATAAGTCAGTATTAACACTGAAAGTATTTACATAATTTAAAGTTGCATGTTTCCAGATAAGCCATAATGACTGATTTTGTAGTAACTTGGACCGAAACTTGTGTATCTGTCTTTCCCAGAAAGTATTTATCACCATGTTTCTACTGCTTGGCTAACGCAGTAAGGGCTATTTTGCATATTTCGACCTCTCTTTTTGGTAATATACGTGAATTGTTTGTGCCGTTAGCAATATGTCATTCATTTTCTTCCTTTACTTCACTATACAAATGTATTTTACTTTTAAATACATTTAAGAAATATCATGAAAATTAGCATGAATCTGGAGGCATGCTGCTTTAAATAAACATGTTTCCGTAACCCATCAACTAGCACATACAGCTGTATTCACAACACTGTAATGCAGTATGAGTTGTCATGTCACCTTGTCTTGATGTCACTAGCAAAATGTCAACTATATATATCTAGTCTAACACGACTGGCAACATTGATAATAATGCGACCAGGATACCGCAGTTACTAATAATCGCTCTTTATCAAATAATGTCCAAAACTAAAGTGAAAAGTCAACTTATTATTTATTTCATCTGTGTTTTATTAATATTTTATTGTCATTTCTCGTTTCCTACATGTGCTTGACAAGACAGTTTTAGGTCAAACGCAATCTGTTAATCTTTATCATTAAATGTATCACGATAGCATCTACATATATTAACTCAAAGTAAATAAAGTTTGCATTAACGTATGTATGTAAGGAGTTTTATATGTGTATTAAAATAAGATGTATATTTGCTGTTTTTTGAGTTGAAGATAAGAGAAAATGAATGTAAGTAGAACTTTTTTAACACATCATGTTTTAATACTAATCACTCCATAACTAAATATATATGTAATCCTAAAAATAGCACGGAGGCCGACCGCTAAGCTTAAAAGGGATTAAGCCACGGATTAGTGATCCAGTGGTCTCGGGCGTGGCGAACTTTCTATTTGAAAATTGGTCTCTGGCATTTAAGTTTAACGGTCATTTTTCACTGACCGCTGATTTAGAAATCATGTGGAATTAATAGTCGGTCAATTGCGGAGAAATTGGTAATACATGGTTAGTTATCCAGGTCGGTCATTTGCGGAGAAATTGGTAATAACTGGTTAGTTATCCAGGTCGGTCAGTTGCGGAGGAATTGGTAATAATAACTGGTTAGTTATCCAGGTCGGCCATTTGCGGAGAAATTGGTAATAATAACTGGTTAGTTATCCAGGTCGGCCATTTGCGGAGAAATTGGTAATAACTGGTTAGTTATCCAGGAAAGCCGGTTGGAGAAATTTGACGAAATATGTGATAAGGATGATTCAATAACTATAATTGTAATTTTTATTCATGAAAAAATCGATCGTTATTTAGAGGAGACCAGTATTGCATTTTAACAGTGTCCTCATCTTTTTATAGATATAGCAAGAATAAAAACATAACACAAGACAAAACAAAACAAACAAAAAAAAAACATAAGAAAAACGTTAAACCATGACGACGAACTACCAGCATGACAGTCGTACGAACAATGGTGTGATAGATTCGTATCCACCAGACGACAGTGGTATACAGCTCCTGTCCTATACAACACGACGCAACAAACCCAACACTTCTGAGAATAATGCCATTAATCATAAAGGTATTTTAATTAGTATTTAAATTATTTTTAAATCACATTGTACGTTTGCATTTGACAATATTTGCGTCTTGTTCTTTTATGACAATATAAATAAGTTTGTGATTTTTCTTTTCCTACGAAAAACACAAGAATATTCAAGCGCTTTTTAAGGGCAAACAATATTCTTGTCCATCTCGTCCATCATTTAAATTTATAATAATTTGTTGAATAATTTACACAGAATTTGGAACCCCAGATGAGAAGAAAAAGTTTATTCCAACATATTCGGACGTGGTAAAACTTGATCCCGGCTTAGAGTCTGTTAACAAAAGTCGTGAATTATACAATACAGAACAGCAAGAACTCGACCAACCACCGCCTGACAGGTTTATATACACTCATCTTAAATTGAAAAAAAAAGATTTCTAGTTTAATATGCTTTATTGAATAAAAAAAATGTTTTGAACTCTTTTCGTATTATCGGCGGTAATAATTCATTCAAGATTATGATGATATAAAAAATATTTTAATCGAACAAAAATAACTGTAGAGTTGTCGCTAGTTCGTCATGATGTAGTACATTTTTGTATATACTTTATGCCATCTTTTCTTACCAAAATGCTGATTAGTTTTTCCTTATTTGAATCACCCAAAGTAACATAATGACATATTTACATTACGTAGATACAGAATTGTGTTTGGAATTTTCCTTATTCATGGAGTGGGTATCCTAATGCCATGGAACATGTTTATTACTGCAAAATCGGTAAGTAATACCTGGGAACATGTTGTCAGCTGAAACATCGGTAAGTTATGCCTAATAACATGTTTGCAGCTGAAAATAGCGGTACGTCATGACAAGGAACATGTTTTTAACTTCCTAAGTCATGATAAGGAACATGTTTATAACTGCAAAAACGGTAATTCATACATTGGAATATGCTTCCAACTGTAATATCGGTAGACAATGACAGGGAGCATGTTTATAACTGAAAATCGGAAAGCACTGCCATAGAACATGTTTATATGACTGCAAAACCGATAGACAATTTTAGACAATGGCAGGGAATGTTTATAACTGAAATCGTTTAGCAATGCCAGGGAGGAGCATGTTTATATAACTGCAAAAACGATATACAATTAAATAAAATAATTTTCACCTTTTGTTGCATTTGCACCAAACTTGTGTTTTGTGCAAAATAAAACTCTAATAAGAAATGGTTCCAATAAAATTTTCTTAGTAAATAAAGTAATCGATTATTCAAACTGATAAAAAACTTTTTATTGTAAATATAAGTAATTGTGTTGTGTTTTGATTACTGGATTTCAGTATTTTGAAGACTACAAATTAAACACGCCCACCAGCAGAGACGCAGTATATCGTTCCGAGTTTATGTTTTACTTGGGTATCGTATCACAGGTGTCGTCTGCAGTGGTCAGCTGTGGAAACACTTTTTTCCAGTTTGGAGGGTAATTTCATATGTTATAACACAATCAGATAGGTTATAAATGAATACTTCGTTTATTTCAATTTTATAAATAGAGACAGTTTCCAAACCGAATCATTGCTAGCTTATACATGTACATTCCAAAATTGAATATGAATGTTTTGACCACACTGTTGATTTTTTCTTTGTGTACATGCATATCAAATCTCAAACACTTCTTGAGTAAAGCTTTCTTTTTGTGTCCAATGTCCAGACTTGTTCAATGCTGAAATTCTGAGCCAAAAGAAGTTCCATTATTCATCTGGAATTGTATAATGATATATATATTTACAAATAAGCCAAAACAAATTTTACCTACCTTTCAGGGTATTTTTTTCCAACACATTTTCGTCATTAAAACTTATCTAAAATTCTTCCGTACGGTGATGGCATATATTTTTGCCTTGGTATTGATTGATACACAGATGTTATTTGCATAAACAACAAAATTCAAAAAAGCCAGGCCAGTAAACGAAAATGCGCAATCTTTCACAAATACCTAAGAACAAGGCCGAATTGGCATGTGCATAGCCATGCTATTCTATTTCACCTAGTAGTAATTGGCAGTCTATATATATCTCTTACATGATGAAAATCCAAATGTTCTGTCATTACAGAAAGGCTTCAACAACAAGGGTTGCTATTGCCTTGTTTTCTATGGTTATGATCTTCATATTTACGGTGATTCTTGCAATGGTTGACACATCCGGAAGTAAGCGTACAATTATTAGTTAAAAAATTTATAATAATAATTTATTTTTCAATGTACAATAATGTGAGCCGCGCCATGACAAAACCAACATAGTGCGTTTGCACCCGCGCAGTCTGATCAGGATCTATGCTGTTCGCTGTCAGTTTCTCCACTTGTAATAGAGTTGGTAAGCGGATTCGCAGGCTAGTCTGGTTCCATGCTGGTCGCAAACCCACTATGTTGGTTTTGTCGTGACGCGGCTCATGTGTTTAAAATAGTTATTTTAAAGCTAAATTGTTGGTATGATAATGATGTTGACGAGGAGAACAATGTAATGATAATAATAATGATGATGATGATGATGGCACTGGTGGCGATGATGGGGATGATGATGATGATGGGGATGCTGATGATAATGATTGCAATGGCAATGATGAGGGTGATAATGGTAATCGCAATGATGATGTTGACAGTAATAATTACAATGAAAACACTATTTATGAAATTAATAAAAACGTATTTTAGTCTTTTACTTGTCTACTAGCATATTTATCTACATGTTATTCTTTTGCCTACAAAGATATTTTATATGATGTTACTATACATACATAATAATTTGTTTTCAGTCCCACTTATTTTCTTTGGTCTTACTCTTGCATCAGCGTCACTCTTGAATTGTAAGTATAAAATGTTCAACAAATGCGCTAGACAGTTAACTAATGATTAGCTCGTTTCTTATTATAAATAAATATATTTTGCCATGGTCTGAGCTCTTATTATACCTTTATACATAGATCAGGTCATGTTTTGTCGTTTTGGGCACAATCGTTTCGCTTTAATCACTAGAAGTCCCTTGTGGTGGAGGGGTTGCCTTTACGGGTTGATAGGCATCAGAATTGCATCCACCGTTTAACCCCGCGTGATTGTATGAGGCGACCTAATGGATTTAAATAATTGGAGTCTATGCATCCCTGAGTTTAATCAAGTGGGATGGTTTTGACTCCTGGTCTTGCTTTAGCCGGTGCTAAGGTGCTTAGGAAGCGCCATGATAAGGATAGACCGTTGCATAATAAACTCTGTTGATCCTTTTTCTATATTGACAGCATAGTAGTAGATGACATTTACACACATATTTATTCATTTATCATAGTATTATGAAAGTATCCATATATGTTTATTTATTAAGGTTGTGGTGGCGTGTATCAGAACATAACATTTGGTATGGCAGCTATTCTACCGATGAAATATACCAACGCTATTGTTTTAGGATCGGTGAGATATCTATCAATTTCATGCAGATTGATTTTTGTTTAAAATGATGCCAAATACAGAGGGGGATAGAGAGATTACATAAACATTATAAACGCAGATTGATTTTTGTTTGAAATAATGCCAAATACAAAAAGTTGGGATTGAATAAACACGCAGATTGATTTTTGTTAAAAATGATGCCAAATACAGAGGGGGGAGAGATTACATAAACATGATAAACGCAGATTGATTTTTGTTTAAAATGATGCCAAATATACAAAAAGAAGGGAATAAATAAACATGATGAACGCAGATTGATTTTTGTTTCAAATGATGCCAAATGCAGAAAGGACGAAAATGATAAGATTATGATTAGTAAATAACGCTAAACCAACAATTTCAATAAATGGCACATCCCTACGAGCGTATAAAATAAGAAGGGTTCATTTTCATATGTTTGTACATTATGAAATTATTAATAAGCAAAATTTATATTTTAAAACTTGTAAAACTGGATTTTTTTTATCTGTTTTCAGAATCTCAGTGGAGTGTTTACTTCAGTGATTAATATTTTGTCAATAGCAGGTACATTCATCATCTAATATTGATCTCTTTATATATTACCAATTAAGGTGATGATTTGATGTTTCATTATTTAGCTTATTTAGTACGAGTGATAACAAGTCATCTTCCACATTACGTTTGCTTAAATTGGCCGATTTACTTTGTTATTGTTAGATAAATCGTTTCATATAATTGTGAAATCAAAAGAATTAGGGTGAAAAATAAAATTTGCCGCAAGATGAAATACATAAACAATAATAAGGAAACTACTCGATACATCTGATATGTCGGTCGCTCTTTATATTTGAATTAGTAAAGCGGACAGAATTGTTTTTTTCAACTGAAAATAAAAGCTGAAGGCCGCCTTTAAAAAAGTGTGACTTTTCATAGCGTTAACGCGACATGCATGTACTTTATCACTTTTATACAACTTTTGTACTACTTATATAGAATTACTCTTATATTTATTGATTACATTTGATCATTTGATTTTGCGCTATTTTTCTAGAACTAATATATCAATATATATTTATAATTATATATACGTTTCTAAATCTGTTTTACTAGAACTAAAATATTTATCAAATTATAACTTCCACACCACCTTTAAAATTGTCATTAAACTACTTAATTTTTCACTGCAAATCTAGGATCTCCTATAGCATTTACACCGAATTCGTTAGTAGTTTTTTTAAAGCATTTTTACTTTTTCAGTTCGTATTATTTTATAGCATTTACATAACTGGTTGGTTGACTTGCAGGATCACCGAACCCCAGAACAGCTGCTGTGTACTATTTTATCGTCGCTATAATCATCCTCTTAGTAGCGTTTGACTGTTACTTTTTACTCCCGCTCACAGTACGTTTCTTAAATTTACAATTCATTATTCATCATTATTGTACATGTAAATCTGCATTTTAACGATTTTAGAATCCATGCCAGTAGTTAATACCATCTTTTCAATCCCTTTTTGAACTTGATAAATTCTTTGATAGTTTTGCGTATAAGCTGTTGCCTAGAAAACAAGTAGACTTGTAGATTTTTTATACGACGAGCCTCTTTTCTTTGTACACACTTATTTGTATTGTAATAAATAGATATAGCATTTGAGCCACGCAGTCTGATCAGGATCCATGCTGTTTGCTATCAGTTTCTCTACTTGTTATAGGGTTTGTAAGCGAACAGCATGGACCCTGATCAGACTGCGCGGATGCGCAGGCTGGTCTGGATCCATGCTGGTCGCAAACCCATTATGTTGGTTTTGTCATGGCGCGGCTCATTTGGATATTTAGTTTTGATTAAAAAAAATTATCCATTATATCCTGAACAAAGTACATGAACAATTTAACACTTTTGTTTTAAATTTATTTCAGAAATATTACCAGTACTTCATGAACAAAGTGCACGGTTCAAAAGATGAAGACAAGAAAATGCTTTGTGGCGATTATCTTAACGCATTTATTGATTCTTGCAAAACGTATGGGGTAGTTATAAAGAAGGTATGTGTTTGGCTTATTATTTACTTTTGATGCATTTATTACTAAAGATTAACAGGACAGAGCAACTCGGCCTTTGAACACTGCACGGTTAGTGGATATAACGTATAAATAAAACTTTATCCCTTACCTATATATTTAAAAGACTTGTCCATCTTTTAATCTGGACTAATCCATTTTTCATTTTTAGACAAAATATCTACTGACTGAATGACGAACAATGCAGACGGCACGGATGAAATCGATGTTAATTAAGGGGCTTGACAAGTGTAACTTATGTTATCTTCTCCCGAATACTATTATTTCCTGTTTATAGACCTGATCTCTGCATTCGATTTTTTTTCATACGTTTTGCATAAAATTCAATTTCATTTCGTTTTGTAGATAAAACTTCAGTTATTCGGAGTATGGTGTACGTTTTGTGTATCGCTTATGTTATTTCCGGCAATACAAAGCAATGTTAAGATGGTCAGACAAACATTTGTTAACGACAATGGGACAGAGACTGAACAAACTATAACTTTCAGTGAAGAATTTGGTATGATAAAACTATGTTACTTACATACCTAAATATAAATTTTAACACATTTAACATATAACTTTCAGGTACCCTCATAATTCTTAGTTACAAGAGTATTTTCCAGACAATTGCAAACATTTCTATTTCATTTCCAAACCAATTTAACTTATAGACTTGTATTTAATTCAACATGATGCTGGCATATATTAATTGTTCAATATTTTATGTAAGCCATAAGGTGCATGCGATGTATCTTCGGCTATGGATAACAAAATATAATAATGCATATTATGTACGCATCAAGACACACATAATTATTGTTTATACTGATAAATATTAACAAAATCGCTTTGTGTTGTCAGAAATTCTTAATTGCGATAAATTACGGATATTTAATACCACAGTAGGCCAAAACATATATGAGATTAAACATAAGTCTTCATATTTATCGAATACACATTGCAATGGTTGGTTCCAGTAACGGATTGGAACGTGTGTCTATTAGCTGATCGCTTCATACACAATAAAACTAAAATAACTTCTGGAAAAACTGATTACACAATTACACATTGTACTGCATATTTCATTGCCACTTTCTCATAGTTAACATTTTATTATCCAAATTCCCAGTATGATGTAATTTGAAGATTTTTGAAATATTCAGTTCTGTTTGTGTTTTGTTTTTCTACAGAAATGAAAGGCTATTGGACATCTATATTTACATTCCTCAGCTTTAATCTGTTTGCATGTCTTGGAAATCTTACATCAGAATGGATCAAATGGGTGGGTAGCTCAATAGGGTATACCGTGCTTTAAAAAATATTATCTTAAAGTCTAAAAAAAAAATAATTGTACTGGCGTACTTTGTTTTATGTACGGTGGGAATCTAATAAACTTCCTTTTCGTTTCGCAAGTGATGTTAATAGAAATAGAGTGTACACAGAAATTGGAATGAACCGTTGAATGGAGAAGAAGAATTTTTAATACTAATAAAGAATTTATAGATATTGTTACAAAAGAATATTGCTTATTGTAGTTTTAAATAAAGTATAATAACAAGTTACTTATGAAACAATGTTTTATATTTGTGTATAATTATAGTATAGAATATTACAAAACAATATATATGCATGTATATAATGTTTTCGCATTCTAGCTATGCACATGCGAGTGCGTGTCAAACGTAATTAGAATAATTCAGGCCCATCATGTTATTCAACCATGAGCAACATACAGTTCAACAATGAATTGTTACTAGAATTTTGACATATTGATTGTTATTACTCGTATATATGTATCTCAATCGTTCTGTAACCTGATCGAGTAGGAAAATTATAGTATAGCGTTTACTTGTGAAATGTACGTACAATAACGTATTCCGTACAATAACGTATTCCATACAGTAACGTATTCCGTATAATAACGTATTCCGTCCAATAACGTATTCCGTACAGTATCGTATTCCGTACATTAACGTATTCCGTACAATAACGTATTCCGTACAATAACGTATTCCGTACAATAACGTTTTCCAGGGCGGAACTGATTATTGTGCATTGCTAAATGCCGTAATAAATCGGGGGGAGTGGGAGTTTTTATCAAGAAATCTTTATCCACAAAGTTAACTGTGTTAGATTGTAGCTCTGAGATTTTTTTATTTTTAAAATGCAAAGATTCTGATGTCATCTTTGGAAATGTTTATATTCCTCCTGAAGGATCTCATTATAGCTCTCTTGAATTATTTGATAGCTTAGAAAGTTGTATTATTGATTTGAAAATCAAATTTGCAAACTGTTTATTCTGTATTTTTGGTGATTTCAATGCAAGAACTGGTTCCTTGAGTGATTTTGTTGACTTTGATAAGTATGTAATTAATTGAAAATTTTGATGATATTACCATGCAACATATAGTTATGAATAACCTTGATGAACTTGGTTTCCCTGTTGAACGTTTTTCTTGTGACAGCAAATGTAATAATTATGGCCAGAGACTTATTCAGTTGTGTAAATCTGCAAATATCTTTATTGGTAATGGTAGATGTGGTAATGATGCATATATTGGTAGAAAACACATGTAATAAAGGTAATGGTAGCTTGATTGATTATTTGCTTATGTCAGGAATTTGTTCCCTTGTATAACATATTTTAATGTTTTGCAATTTGATCCAATTTTATCTGATGTGCATTGTGCATTGGAATTTTGTTTTAACTTGAACATTATACCAGATTGTAATGTTATGGATGCAAGTATCAAATCTAAAGATGATGTTTGTTATAGGCCTGTGTGGAGTTCTAATTTAAGTGCTAGTTATAAGCATAAGTTCGATAGCACAGCTGTATCAAATTTATTGGATGAGCTTAAAGAGGTTTGTGAAAATCGTCATTTTGATGTAAATGTTGTTAATCATTTGACCGTAAAGTGTCTGGTATTTTAACCGATGCAGCTGTAAGTTGTGATCTTATAAAGAAAAATGTTAATCATAGGAAGTCTAAGAAAAACAATAAAATTTGGTTTGATAGTGATTGTAAAAATGCTCGTATTCAATATATGAATTATAAAAACATGTATAGCAAGAACCCTACTGCAGAAAATAAAGATAGTTTAGTTTGTAGTAGCCGACAGTATAAAAAAAGAAGTTAAGAAAAAGTTTAGAGCATATCAGAAAAGCATTGTTGATAAAATTAAAGGTTTAAAAAATAAAGATCCTAGATCTTATTGGAGTCTATTGAACAAATATTCAGGTGATCGGAAGGAAGTTATTAACAAAGTAACAACTGAGGCTTTTTTTGATCATTTTAGTAAATTGAATGAGGTTGACACTCAAGTTGACATTGATGACTTTAATATAACTAATGTCTCGTCAAATAACTCTGATTTAGATAAACCATTTACTGTATTAGAAATACGTAAAGCTACTATTTCACTGAAAAACAATAAAGCATCATCTTCCTTTGATCATGTATTGAATGAATATCTGAAGAATGTACCCGACAGCATGTTTGATGTGTTTTGTTATTTGTTTAATATTATTTTAGATTCTGGAATTTTTCCTGAAGTTTGGAGTAAAGGGATTATTTTACCAATATACAAAAAACAAGGGTAACATAGACGATCCAGATAATTATAGGGGAATTACTATACTTAGTTGTTTTGGGAAACTTTTCACAAATGTTCTTAACTCTAGACTCAATAATTTTTTAGAAAGTAATAATATTCTCTGTGAAGAACAAGCTGGATTTAGGAAAAAGTATAGCACTACTGATCATATATTTTCTCTGAAAACTTTGATTGATTTATATCTGTCTAAAGGTAAAAAGTTATATTGTTCTTTTATTGATTATAGAAAGGCTTTTTGATAGCATAAATAGAACTGCACTTTGGCAGAAATTAATTAGCAATAATGTTGATGGTAAATGTATAAAGATCATTTATAACATGTATTTACAAGCTAAATCTTGTGTTAAAATTAATTCTTTTAGTCATATGTCGGATTTTTTACAAGTCATACAGGCGTTCGTCAGGGTGAAAATTTATCTCCCATATTGTTTTCTTTATTTTTAAATGATTTAAACTATTTCCTGTCACAACATTTTAATGGTCTGGATCTACTATCAAACATTGTAAATGATACCCTGAGTGATTCTGATGTTGAAATGTATTTTAAATTGTATATTCTTTTATATGCTGATGACACTGTTATATTTGCTGAATCTGCTGAAGAACTGCAAAAAGCACTAGATGCAATGTCAAATTATTGTCAATTATGGCATTTACAAGTTAATCCTAGTAAAACTAAAATTGTTGTTTTTTGTAAAAGTAAAAGAGGTTTATGTAATTCCAGCCTTTAGTTTTGAAGGTAATTTGCTAGAAATTGTTGATGATTTTTCATATCTGGGTGTTAAGTTCTCTTATAATGGTAAATTTGCTAAAACAAAGAATCATTTATTAGAACAGGCAAGGAAGGCTATGTTTTCAATTATAGTTAAGGCTAGAAAATTCGATTTGCCTATCAGTATGCAAATTCATTTATTTGATAGCATGGTAGCACCTATATTGTTATATGGTAGCGAAGTGTGGGGAATTGAAAATGTGAATATCATTGATAGATTTCAATTAAAATTTTTATAAACTCATATTAAATTTGAAACAAAGTACTCCAAATTGTATGCTTTATGGAGATTTAGGGATATAACCTTTATCTATTCATATAAAAAGTAGAGTTTTTGTGCTTTTGGAATAAGATTTTAAGTAGCAAACAGGAATCAATAAGCCATATATTGTATGATATGTCACACTCTTTGTATTGTAGAAATGTGTTGAAACTCCCATGGATGAATAGTTGTTTGTAAATTACTAGATTCACTGGTTTATCAAATTTTTGGATTAATAATGTTGCCACTTCTCTTCCATTGTTTAAGAAAATTGTTAAAAATAGACTGAAAGATCAGTTCATTCAAAATTGGCATAGTGAAATGTCACAATCAAGTAAATGTCTGAATTATAGAATGTACAAAAGTGAATTCAGATTTGAAAAGTTTTTAGATATTTTACCATCTCATTTAGCTTTGGTACTATTGCGCTTTAGATGTATAAACCATAAAATGCCTATTGAGTCTGGTAGATTTTGTAATACACCAAGAGAATTAAGAGTGTGTAATTTATGCAATAATAGCTCACTTGGTGATGAATATCATTATTTATTTAATTGTCAATTCTTTAATACTGATAGAAAAAAATATATTACTAGAGAGTATAGTACTAATGTTAATTCAATCAAGTTTTCTATGTTAATGAATAGCACAGATAGGAGTATATTGTTAAAACTTGCAGTATTCTGTAAAAAAATTATTTCAGCATTTAAGTAACTGATAACTAAGCTTATTTTCATAATGTAACACTTTCATTTTTGATTTATATTTGCCATGTAATACATCAGCATATTTCGTGGATATCTCTATATATGTCATACTATATGTATATATTATTGTATATGTGACTGATGCCTCTATGAGGCCCAGCATTTTCAATAAACTGTTAAACTGTTTATATTTCTGAACGAATTGCCGCCATTCCTTTAATACCAATCAGAACTCAGAACGGATGGACCGTATACTGTATTTAAAAGTTTTTTTTCAGCCTGGTCCCAATCGTGTCTGGATTCCTATAGTGCTGAGGGCTTTCATATTGATTCCAGTATATCTACTCTGTAATTACCAACCAATCGGATTTGAGCGCAAGTTCCCAGTATATATACAAAATGACGTGGTTTTTATAATAGCGGGAGTTGTCATGGCATTCACGAGTGGTTACTATAGCAGTCTTACCATGATGTATGGACCAAAGTAAGTTCTCTCCTATCATTCCTTTGATACTGTTATATCAACCCCGGATGGCCAATTATACCCCAGAAATGCGTTCATTTTTACTTCTCAAAATCTTGCGTGATCGTAAGAGGCGACTTAATTGGTTCGACTATAGCTGGAGTCTATGCATCTCTTGAGCCTAGCAGGTGAGGTTTGACCCCTGTGTTGCTTTGAAGTTTGTAACACCCCGAGGTTTAGCCAAATCATCTTTCCTGTTTCGGCGCAATATGACCTATACTGTGTTAGTGTGCCGTAAAACCAAACAAACAGACATCATGATTTACAGGTCTGGCTCTTTTCTGATGGCAAAGGCAGAACTTTCAATGCCAACAGTATAAAAGATCTTTTGAAACGAATCTTTACAACTTAAGAATTTACTGTCCCAATGATAGAATAAATTATAATAATAATCAAATTTTAAAGAAAGACTAGCACATGGTCTATGTAATTTTTAATTTAACTCATTTGTCGTTTCCGTGGTTTGGCATATATTTATTTGTATATAGATTCGAAACATTTTAAAGAGATCATATCGTTTATCAAATTGAAAGGCAACACAGGTTGCATTTTTGACAGCTTTTTCATAGTGAGACTGTTGGTATTCATTTTGAAAAATGAAGAGCTTTTGCATATATGTTGTACATTTTACTTTCCTAAATAAAATTTTAATGCTCCGATATTTCTAGAAAAGTTATAAATCTTTGTTTTAGATTTAATTATTTTACAGAACACTTTATTAATATATGCGATGTTTCTGTATATTTAGAGAAGTGGAACCTTCTATGATGGGTAGAGCAGGTATGATGATGGCGTTCTTCCTCGTTCTTGGAATCACTTCCGGTGTAAACCTGTCATTATTGTTACAGAGACTTGTTACAACCAAAGCAGAAATAGGATAAAACAGAACTCGGAAGGATATAAAAACAACAACTGCCCATCATCTTCAAGTTATTACTTTATATAATGTGGTTTAGACTTGTTCGGCAATAACCAGTCTGAATAAATGTACGTTTTTGTGTTGTTCTTGTTTTATTTTCTTTCAGAAGACACACATTGTAAATGAATATCGTCAAACCATTTATAAGATATATATTTATTCTAATAAATAGCTAGATAACCACACTATTCGTTGAATTAAACTCTCCAGTTTAAAAGGTTATAACGTTTGACGGTAAAATGTCTCATTTCGTATTTTGCTTTTGAAAAATGCGAAAAAAATGGAAAAACTGACAATAAAAATACATCGAGTACTAGGCAAAAGAGTGTTGTACATCAACATTTTACGACTAGAAATTTACTGCTATTTAACATACTAGATAAGCATATGATACATGTATAATATAATAATATATTATTTACATCAACACTATCGGATATGTATGTTGCCGAAAAACACGAGAAGCTGCACATGTACTTTACTTTAATGTAGAGACTTTATGATTAAACAGATTCATCTTTAAGTCCATGATATATCTTGTAGAAAACAGACATGGTGATATTGTAAAACACAAGCGAAATGAACCATGTAGTTACAAAGTTCTAACACAATTGCCAGTTAATCATACACTTTTCCTAAATATTTAAGAAATAAATGCATTATTAATAACAAACACTAACAGAACAAGACTGCAGCTTAAGGTCACCTCTTTCATATTATTCAATAACATGTTTAATTACGAATTTTTTTTTTCATAAAATTTAAAAACATGTCATGCATTTTACTTCTAAATAAAACAATCATTGCATGTATATATATACACATGTTTGGTTAAATATTTTTACATTTTTAAGCGCATTTTCACTAGAGAAAAAACTTAGTACAAGGAACATTTAATTAGGGCAAAACTTTTCAACGTACAAACTAACATTGACGTAATTTGATTTGCATCTCTTCACCCACTATATACCCTTGAATGGTAATAATGTCACTTTAAAAAGTACCCAACATAAATTTACCCCTAAAAGATTTCAAGGAAATTAATGCAGTTAGAAAAACAAAATTTGGCGTTTATCATTTCTTCCAGTTTCAACACTTTCAGCAGATTTCGGCAAGGATTGTCCCCCAAATAGAATAATATCATCACCATGGAAGGTACCTTTCATTGACACTACAAATTCACTTGCTGTGTTCATGTCTCTGTCGCAAAAATAAATTTCTCGAATACTACAGCGTGGTTCCTGTTGTAGAAAATCTTTGACAGCTTTCATGATAGTGAGGGTTGCCTCCTTAATCGGAAATCTGTACGTTCCAGCACTTATAGCTGGAAATGCAACCGATGCAATCTTGCGTTTGGAAGCACTTCTTAAACAATTTGTTACACATTCAAACAGTTTATCCTTTTCCTCGTGGTTGCCATCAATCCACTTTGGACCAACTGCGTGCATTATAACAGAACTCCGCAGTGTTCCTGCATCTGAGCAGAACACTTGTGCTATCTCAACATTTCCATTATTCTGAACGTGGAATGTGCATTCTTCTTGAATAGAGCGTCCACCTGTAAAACAAATGAAGGAAACATAAGTATTATTTAAAAAAGAGGTTTATCCACTTGTACACAAGTCTAAAGATAATGTTCATCTAAGCTATATGTACTATCAATATGTCAAAGCTGCATTGTCTCCCTTGTTTAGCAAACTTTCACTACTAATTATGAAATTGAACGAATATAAATTCGACAAACCTTTCAAAACCAGAGCTTTTGCAAGTCCACCATTGTGTTTTAACGTCTTATCAGCGGCGTTGACCAGAGCCTCGACAGGTAATTCAATCATATTTCCTGCTACTACATATAACAGCCTATCATCGCCGGGAAAACATAACGCACTGACAGCTGCTTCCGTATCATCTTCAAGAGCAAGATTAATCTGAACAGTTACATTAGATGCCTCTACTGCTTGTGCCTCATCAGCGTCCTCTGCGAATCTTTCTTCCTCGTCTTCATCCGTATCGCTATCAGAATCAAACCGATCCTCATCAGTTGATTTAGCATACTTTGATGCTAAGCTGTTCAACATTTGAATAGCCCGTCCAACACCAAAACCGATGCCTCTCATGCGGATATTTGTTTCGTCAACGGTTGATATATCAAGGCAATATTGCGAAAGGCTTTGACAAATTCTTTTCAATATTCGTTTGTGTTTCATAATAAAAGCGAGTACGGGCTCGTCATAGCGTAGTTTTACCGTTTTCATTTGGTTATCTCGCAGGAAAAACCGTATGATGTCGCATGAGTCTTTTAGGATGAACATTGATGTTGAGTAAACAGTCACTTCACAATTAGCATGATTTACATCTATTTGAACCTGAAATAAATAATAGTCGTCATATTAAACCACATCCCGCATGATATTTGTAAATATTAAGTCCGTTTCTGAACCATTATCCAAAAGACTTAAAATCCTTGTGAAAACCAACATTCTCTGAAAGAGACAAAATGTAATTAAAACAATAAACAGGAAATCAAACTCGAATTTTTGTCTTTTCTCATCATTGTTGCTTTAAACATGTAAAATTTGCTCAAACAAGTTTATACATAATTATATATATACACGACAATATGAATGATAACAGAACCCCAGCAAACACATGACGTTAAAATAACGTCGGATTAATGTTAGATTTTGGTCACGACGTCGGCGACCAAAATACGACGTAAATCTGACGTTAAAATACCGATGTCTAATAGACGTTACTTTTTGACGTCGTACTAACGTCAGGTTTTGGTCGGTGTCCTGACGGTAGGTAAAAAAAATAACAAAAAATAATCCTTATTCGCTGTTTTAATCATTTAAACTTTTTTTCAAATGTTATTTGGATTACAAATGAAGTGTTCTTATATAAATACAGACCAAGATCGCGGCGCTGCAACCTAATAAAACATAAAGGTGGCGCTGTATATATGCAAGTTACATGTGCTATTGTTATGAAATCTATTTATAGCCACAGATCTGTTTACAAGTTCCAATCATTTAACGTTGTAATATTATCATTTGTGGTACATTATATGTATCAAAATTACGAGTTTTTAATAGTGCTTTAACATTTAATCATAGTGACAGAAAAGGGAAAGAAAACATAATTAACCTTTATTAAATTCGAATCTAAAGTCACGTGGATGGAAATTCAAATTCGTAGGCGTTACGTTTTGGCTGTCGGTCAGGAATCGGGATGCATTGATAAGTGAATATTATAGATTTTCTTGAACAAAAAGGTCAGTTCAATTTATTTAGATTTATTTCTACTTTGTATTTGATAAATAATTGCATGGTTGCAAGCACTCTTAAATTTAATTATCATTATTTGAACAGCTGAAGTAAAATGTCACATAAATTCGCGATAATGTCTAATAATGAATCTTTTTAAAATTGACATGTTTTAACTCTGCTTGTGAAGAGTTTATAATATGCCTTTCAGTACTACCAAAGAGAATGCTTAGTTTTCATATTTTTCTTAAACTGTGATGTTTTTGTCAGTTAAAATCTGAGAATTGAGAATGAATTTGTACGATTTCAAGCATTTCGGGCCAAGACGTTTCGGTCCCAAATAACCCAAAACGTCCCGGTCCAAAATAACGCAAGACGTTTTGGTTCCAGACATTTCGGCATTAAATCTTTAATTCAAAACTATGAAATATTGAAGACTTGCGTAACTGTTCTATTTCAAAAGTAGAATATATACATAAGTTAGAATATAATAATTTTCTTTTCAGGTAGTTAAAGTGTTGGACATGCGCTTAAAGGTCGGAGGGACGGACACACGTGAATATGTAAAAAGAAACATATGAAAGTAAGATTTTTGTAAATTATATTACATACTTTAATCCATACTAAACTGGAGTTTAAAAGCGGCTTTTTAAATGTTCAGTATTTATGTTTACTTTTAATTTTTGTTAAAGCTCTCTTATAAAAAGTTGGCAAAATTGTTCATTAAGTTAAGATAACCATAAAAACATTTTTGCTTGTTATTTTTACATGTTTCATTATTTTTTTATTTTTTTCAGTGAAAATGATGTCACACACGCTATTGGGCGCTACAAACGCTACATATCCTCCGGACAGACGAGGGGTGCTGAAAGAAGGTCATATCTTAAAGCATCACACCTCAAAATTCGTGCTAATTCTCATGGATATCTAAAAGTATAACTTTGTGAAGTAACTAAAAGGCAGCAATTTATACATTACTGACAATTATCAACGGAGGTCAAAATATGCAAAATGGCACTAAATGTTTTAGAAATGCTGTAAATTATAAATTGCTTGAAACATTATTATCAGAATCTTTTAACTTTTCTTAAAATTATAATATTTTCATTGTTTTATTTGATAAGGCAAACTTTGATAGAAATGTGCATACATTGTTTTGTTCTTTAATATTTGTACATGTTTTCTTAGTTTCATTTATGTCATTGTTTTTGTAATACTTTTTGTTTTGTAATTAACTTATTTTATGTTTTATTTTGTTTAATTTATGAAAATTATTTAACCTTGCAGAATTTACTAAAATTGTATCAGCTTAAAATTGCAACTTTTATCTTAAATTAAAAAAGCATGAAACATATTTTTGCCTTTTAGTTTTCTGTTATACATTTCATTTTAGGGAAAGTTACTTAATAGAATGAGTTACATTTAATTAGATCAAATCAGGATTAGCCAGAAAATATGTATGACGTGGTGAAACAAAAAGGATTAGGGGAATGATAAGATGAAGGTCAGAAAAAGATCAGATTTAGGGCAGAAAAGGGTAAATATTTAGGTCGGAAAATGGTCAGATTGAGGTCGGAAAATGGTTAGAAACTGGTTAGATTTAGGTCGGAAAATGGTCAGATTGAGGTCGGGAAATGGTCAGATTGAGGTCGGAAAATGGTTAGATAATGGTCAGATTTTGGTCAGAAAAAGGTTAAATAATGGTTAGATTCTGACGTCTACCTGACGTCAGATTATTACGTCAAAAAAACTTTCAAATCCAACCGTTTTTCCGACCGTCATCCGACGTCAGAACCTGACTTAAATCTGACGTCAGTATGACGCCTTGTGTTTGCTGGGAACAATAGTTGAAATTCTTTCATCAAAATGTCTTGATATTAAATAATATAACTTAATATTTTGATACTTTTTTATTTTACAAGGTCAATCATATCATTTTATGTAAGATTTTTTTTGATATTTCATATATAATAAATCTTCTTTACAGTTTATTTTCCTGGAATAACATTTGTATATGCAGCAAATTAATTACTATGATAAACAATATTAGTGCCAATATCATGTGTCTTGAAACGTATGCATATCTGTATGAATTGACGCACTAACTGATCATTCTTACATTTCCAATTCTATGAAATTATCTTACCTGTTCTTGATGTCTTTTCCTCAACATCCCTGTCATAATCTGCCATTTATCAGATTCAACAATAAATTTAGAATCTTTCCGGAGCGGAATTGTTTTTTCAAGAAGCGTTTCCTTTAGCAGTTGCATACAATGACCAGCTTCCTCTTGTGACTTACTAAACATTTCAATCGAGTCATCATCAATCCTCCAATAACCATTTAACCCCCATGTCTGAAATCGCAAATTCACCATTGCCTTAACACTGTCTAAACCTAGTAATTTTCTCTCGCCTATTGGTATATTCTTTTTTAAAAGACATACAGGTTTGGGAATATCTACTACTTTTGGTGAATGAACATTCTGTAGTGTGAAGGTTTCGTTATTAATGGACCGTGGTTCCTTGGTTGAGTTGAGCTTACTAGATCTATATGAAAGCTCAGGAAATGGCCTTTCCCCTTGCTCCGATATTGACAAAGATTTGAGAACATCCATCAGTTGAGTATTTGCCTGTGAATCGCCAGGCAACGCCGGCGATGCCTCTGACTTCAAACCAAAGGACCCTGACTCATCATATTCTTCCCGAACTAAAAGGAAACAAAAGTACTCCGATTAAATCATTTAGATCTATTTGAACAATACTCTCCGGATTTGTGTGATATTCTAAATTTCAGAAAACTCAAAAATTGCTCTAACAAGCTCTTTGTCAAATGTACAAATTAACAGGTTAAACTAAGACATAAAATTTCCACAGATATATGAAGAATTTCTACACATCAGTTAGTTACGGAGAAGAAAATGTAGGTGGTAAAAAAGCACCACATGCCAAATTTTAACTATACATTCAAAGTTAAACACGAATTTTAAATTAAATATTTATAAATTTCTTTAAACTATAAACTATTTTTCTTAAGTTAGGTGATATTTTTAAGATCAAATTCACTGTTGCCGTTTGTTAGATTTAGGGTACATTTATATAATATCCTTTCATTTTATACCCGTAATAACATACCAAATAATGCTTTAAAAGCAATGTCATGTTAGCTCAATAACAATTTAATGGAGTAACTCTTTCTTTATTACACGAATAACGCATTTATAACAAACGTTAATATACGACACCTTTTTGCATCTAAAGTGGTTTTCAGTTTATAGGTTTTGTCTGTTACATATACATGTAGGTAAGAGGTGTTGCCAAAGAGTAATTAAAATTAGGCTATACTAGTATATAACTTACTGTTAATACTTTGATTACTCGCATCTTGGATTGATCCTAGGGCGTTGACAAGTTTTTCGAAATCGTCTGTCGTGCATACTTGACTGAAACGTAACTCAAACTCTTTTGGAATTTTTGAAATGTTTCTTTCACATCTTTTAAGTGCCTTTATCGTATCGCGACATGATCTGATAAAGGTCATCGCATTTTTCTCATTTGAAAGTAGTTCTGCTTCCTTTAATTTATCTTGCATATTTCGTAATAAATCACTTGTGTTTTCAATATATGTTTTAGCTTTATTCTCGACCTGACTTTTCAGTGCGTCACACCTGTCCTCCAAGACTTTCCTATAACTATCAAACTGTATTGTTAGCCCGAGTTTCATTTTTTCTTCCATTTCTTTCGTCATTGCAGTTTTCTTTTCAAGTATCTCTGTTGATTTGTAATGTTCATTTTGTTTTATTTCTTGTACAATTGATTTCAATTCCTTGTTCTTTTCTTTAACAACTTCTGCCAAAGGTTTTGTTTGATGGTTCAAATGCTTTTCATGAGCACATTTTTCGCAAATAACTGTATGGCATTTTATACAATATAAATTAAGAATGCAATCACTGTGCTGTTCAACACTGCAATACTCTTGCTCAAATATGATTTCGGCTGCTGCCTCGTCACGTGCAATGTCCGTGAGTCTATGACCTTTTGTAAGCTTAGTGCGTTTGTGGGCAATTGTGCACTCATTGCATATAAATTCATTACACTCTTCGCAAAACTTAATAGCTGCATTACTTTCATCACATTGTGTGCATCTCTTTCCGAACGTTTCTATAGGACATTTGCCAGAAGAGCCACTTGAAATGTAAGTTTTATCACACTGTTTCAGCTCATTTACTACCTTGCACAATGGACAAGTTGCATTTCTGCCTTCAATCGCTTTCTTCAAACAAGTTGTGCATACAGAATGGCTGCAATCGAGATTATGTAAAAGTCGTGAAGTATTTGTGAAAGTATCACAACAAACTGGACACGTCAGTATCTGTTTGTTATCCAAATCTTCCATCACTACTCGTGGCTTAGCTGGATGAATAAACAGATAAAACACAATTTAATTGAAGCAATAAACAGTAAGTCAGCCTATCTAAGAAAATACAAACATGATTTAAACATCTAAGTCAACGATCACATTATAACGGACAGAAATAACTGTCCTTGATAGAGACAAGTATATTGAAAACAAAATGTTTAAATAATGTATTCTAAGCTATCAGCTGATATTATTCGACTGGTCTACAATGGGCACATTTTCCTTAAGTATTTCAAATGTTGATTAAAGAAAAACAATTAGAAATGTATCATTTGGGTATTCGTATAATATTTCTTTTTTTTTAAGAAAGTTGTAAGTGATCTAGTATGAACATTATCATGATAAATAATATATTATGTTCAATAAACCTTTATTATGTGCTTTATAAATATATGTAATATTAGATCATGTATCTCATACTTGCCAACAACATCCATAGATATTTATTTCGTGTTTTTTTTCTGTCTGATATTATAAACAATCCAAGTTCTTATTTGTTGCATTATAGATTTTCCATTATAGACCAATTCACTTAAAAATATACACATATATTATTGCTAAATTATTGGATTATGTAATATACTTGATAAACTTGATAAAAATTGCGACAAAATCTCACTTCTCTGGCAATCAATAATGTCAAGTGCTTATGTCATAATGTGGTGTATTATCTACAAACCAACAAAGGATAAAATATGTGTGGTGTATTATCTACAAACCAACAAAGGATAAAATATGTGCTATCTTATCTATCAAATAAAGAATGTGAATAAGGATGTTTAAAATATAGGCCCAGCAAAATGCATGTGTACTCTACAATTTTTGATTTCCTGGTCACTAGTAAAAGCGCAACCCTGCAATATTTTAGCATAAGAGATTTATATAAAAAAAACGTTATTTATTTTCTGTTTAACTGCCTAGATGTAAATTGGAATCTTTCCTCTGCCGTTGTAAAAGTTATATTGTCTGTTGATAATCTGATTTTTTTCTGAATATCATAAAGTTAATAAAATTTCAGACAGGGGTCGCTATATTAAATGAAAAAGTATCAAAATTAAAATAGTTATTGGGTCAGAAAATAAAATAATTTGAATTTAAGAAAGAAGGTACAGATACGTATGCTTTAGTAAAACGAAATCACAGAAATTACTAAGAAAGAAAAACTCACTTAAAATTGAATATACAAGTAAAGTACGTCTGTAATAAATTTCAGAAAAACACACAACATATTGCTCTCTTAAAACTTATATCGTACTTTTTATCAGCTATATTTTACCATATTTTGATTACTGTTGTATTATACAGAAGTGTATCTGAAAAAGTGAATAAATTGCAGAAACCCGCTTCAAAGATAGATCTATGTAAACCAGTTAAAACGGTATCTTTAGAACTATTTCTTAAGTTAAAGTGGTTAACTTAAAAAAACTGATGGGCATATCATATTGCATGATTAGTATTTAAATCTATGCAAAGATTGACTCATTCTTACATTTCAGATATCATAATATTATATCATATATATCAGATATCTTGAAAATATAATAGTATGATCATAGATCATCTACTAATAGAAACATAATGTGTGTAAAATGTAATACAAACTATGTAAAAAGAATTTTTATGTTTAAATCTATCGAAGTCTGAAATAATTTACATTTGAATCCTTATCTCTTTATATTTTTAAAACGAAACAAACAAAAAACAAAAAAACAAACAAAAAAAACAACAAAAAACAACAACATTTACTTCACATGCATTTTGAACGAATCTAATCATTCAACGCTATTTGCCGATTTAAAAGCTTGATGTTTAAAATAGTATTTTTCTTAAATGTGTGTACATTGTACACATCTGTGTTTTTCATTGTTTAATTGAAGATCATATTGTAAATAAGACATGGATTTCTAAATATGATAGCTTCTTGAAATTAATTGTTCATTATAATTATTATTATTATTATCATTATTATTATTATTATTAGTATTAGTATTATCATTATTATTATTATTATTATCATTATCATTATTATTATTATTATTATTATCATGCTGTGAGTTCAGTGGACTTTCTCCCGCCTACACTACTTTCTGATAGCCGGAAGATGTGTCATGTTTGAAAAATGGGGCTCTTCAGATGTATCTGAACAAAGACCGGAAATGTATATTGCATAAAGTGACAATGCGTTGTGAAAAACCCAAGTAAATATTCTTCATTTAATTGTTAATAGTGAAAGAATAATTTTTCTGCAAGATGCGAATTGAATTTAAATTAAAAAGTGTGACGATTGTTTCATATACGTCTAGATAAATGAAAAAAAGGTGATTTTTATACATTTTCATTCATAGATTAGTGAGACCGGCCTATTTCATTATTTGAGTAAAAATGTAAGATATTTAAATAATATACTGAATAAGTTTCGTGAAAGTTGCTAAATCTAGCGTTTCATTTATATAATTATAATTATATCATTATAACATATTCTTCGCCAAGCTTCAAAATGCAAGTTACACTTTAGAAGGTTTACATTAAGGAATTAAATACTTGTATAATGAAAGTAGATACGAGTTGAATAACAACAGTTATCCACAAGGTCATTCGTCATTCATGACTAATTTATGTTAACCTACAGTAGCGACGAAGATGCTAGAATATGTATTATAGTATCGTGGTAACATATACGATTAATACACACGCCATCTTTACAGCTGCTGCTATAAATTTTCTATCACAAATAAAGTGTTATATTTCATATTTTGGACAACAAAACTTTGATATGATCAGAACAGAACAGAACAGAACAGAATTTTTATTAACGTATACAATACATGTATCTTGTTAATACAACATCAAATTAAATACATACAATGATAAGCACGTGATAAGCAAACATGTTTTCAGTGTTTCACAGAGAATGAACAAATTATCATAATTGAAATAACTTCAAAGTTGGTGTTTAAAGAACCAGCGCGTTCTGACAATCGTATGTGGTAATTTCATATATTTAAATATAACATATTGAAAAGCATAACTTCGATGTAAACATGTCAAGATAATACTCACTTAAGGAAAAAAAAGTAAGAATCTTGATGCATATATTATACGATTTCAAATAATACTGCCTAGTCTAGAAAACTTTTTTATTTCAAACATTTATTAAATTCTTTGCATTAAATCATTTCTAATTTTATTGGCTGAGCTTATGTATTTACTCAGATTGATCAGAACGCCTTTATTATTTGACTGTAGCAATTCTAGAAATTTAAACATACTATGATCCAACTCTTAGTTTGTATTAAGACGACCGTAGGGAGTCTTATCAAACTCTTACCCATATAACTGCAAATCGGCTCTTTCGACTAGATATCTGATAAAAATATAGAAAGTGTCACCTCTTTAATTAAGCATAACATTGTTTTTCCCCAGCAGTCACGTTCGTACATACAAGGATGGGGTCCAATTACTTAATCTGGCAAGTAAAACAATGAATTTTCAACAATACCTAGGATTGTTAATGCAATTCATTCCTGTCATATGAAACAAAATAATGTTTTGCTTACTTTTTCTAGAAAATATTAACAGTCAGCAATTAATAATTGACATTTTTCTTAGAGTTAAAAGGATATCAAAAAGTTACTGTGTACTAATTTGTCTTTGCGAGCTGAGCTCCACGTGTATTGTCTATGTAATAAATTGAATGTATCCTCACATTGCTACAGTGTTACCAGCCTTTTGGCTAATTAAAATACGCCAATCACAATTTTCACTATCAGCACTGGTTTCTTCATGAAAAAAAAACGGTTTCACTAATTACTGCCGAGTAAGAGCCGATTTGCAGTTATCATGTGTTTTATCGAATTCTTGCAAAAAAAGACAAAACATATGATAGCGGCGTCTGGAGGCTCTCTTTGAATAATGCGGAAAATCGATTTTACTTATTTTTATAGTCACATATTGTAGACGTAAAACTTTATTTTTATGACAAAATTGGAGAAATATAATAAAGTAGAAACTACGATTGTCTAAAACAATATTGCGATATTACATTGTATATAACAATAAAATAAAGATATATTTGGGCATAATCTAATAAGATAGAGTAGAACTGAATCAATATATCAATTATTTCTATTTAAAGCCAAAGTAGTTAAAATTTACTTATATCTATCTAAGACAATTTAAAATAAAAGCCTTTTATATATTAGTAACGCTCAATATGAAAATATACAGTTGACCTTTGTATACTGTACGATTTTCACGCCTCGTATACTGTGTAATGTATTCGACTTTGGTACAACACACCATTACGCACAATTATACACATGTGTAGTTTTTCTTATTCATATTAAAATGCACCATGCATGCTGCATTAAATTTACCCACGCTAAACAGAGCAAAATGTAAATCTTACCTTTAATAATCTACCCGGAATTGATATTCTCCTGGTTTTATAAACATTTAAATATACCGATATTCATTCAGTTTCGCATGCTTTATTAACAGAACACGCACTGGTTTTCCCCGATGTAGGATTTTCAATGAATCATATCAATGTCGCAGTACAATAAACAACATCATGGCTATATTAAACACTAAGTACGTCGAGTCTACATATTACGCTGACAGCTGCACTGAATTTGTATCAACGTAAATAGTACAGTAGTATAAAAATCAAAGAATCTCAAACGATACGACCAACGAAAATATACTTGTGAATGAATGATCAATACTAGTCAATGACTTATTTGTCGTTTATAATATTGTTAGGTTTTCTATAATTATGCCCTTTGTGATTAAAAAGATAATATACAGTAGATTAGACTAAACAAAAAAATACTTGAATTACAATGAGCATGTAACAATATACCGTATCATTGAATTCGATACTACGAATCAATAATGTTAAGAAAAACATTTACATGTTTTTCGAAATATAATGAACAAAAACATTTAAACAATTATGAATAAGTTATGAGATCGTGATTCATTGCTTGGACCGAGTTATAAATAGGATTTATTTTATAAACAGTCGACAATCCAAACATTTTGCCATTCCTTTTTTATACATTACAAAGGGTTACTCATGAATTTAGTAAGAGTCGATTGTTATAGTGCGTGTAGTGGTAGTGTTTTTTTTTCCTCCTATAGTACATCCATGTGAAAGCTATTTCTGCAGTAGTTTTTTTTATAAGCTTCGTTGTTGTTTTTTTTTTAATATAACATAGGCTTTCTCTTGTTTTTTACTTTTATGAAATTATCATTCGTTTCATTAAAGAATAATAACAACAACAACAAAAATACATGTAAGTGATTCGAAAAATGATGATAATATGCACAGTGATTATGGCCTACTTGCATGTTAACAATGGATAGAGATAAACAAATTATTTTTATGTAACCAACATACTTTTATACTAGTTATTAATCAATCAGTGAGGATCCTGCTAATTTAGAACGTGGGTGCTGGTGTTGATATATCATTAGTGATGATGATGATGTCGATGTTGCTGTTGATGATGACGTTGATGATGATGACGATAATGATGATGATGACAACCAAACAAAAGTGTAATGTAAAAAAAATAGATAATCACACTTGTTAATATCCATAAAGGTATGTCCAAAAACAAACAAAATACTAGTTTAGCATAGTAAAGTTTATTCTTTCTAGAAGTTTGTAGTCATATTGGTATTCTCCTTGTTATTTGGTGAGTATTTTTCAGAGTTGATGCTGTTAAATTCATTCGGAAAATGTTGAAAATGAAAAACGTCACTACATGTATCGCTGGGATCAGGACTTGAACTCATATCTGAACCTTCTATGCCACTATCTCCCATGTTTAGAATAAAAGGTCGCCAAATCATGTTCGACCTACGACCTGTCTTCTTATCCAAGTCAGCATCATAACTTGTTGTTGGGTCTTATCTAAACGTGTGGTTAAAGAAATATTATTTGTCTGATTTACACATCTTTGTCGCAAGTTGTTCTTTATTTCTTCCTCTTCTATATTGCATTGTTTTCTATGTTTAATCTTAGACCATCCAAAAACTTTCTTAAATATTCCCTTGTCAGCGTACGGCTTGGATTTTTCATCTTGTTCTTTATCTCCGAAGCAGTTCAGATAACGACATAATGTTAATAAATCAAATAAAACAATTGCACCAAACACAACAGACATGAATATTCGCAACGTAACCAACGTATTTAGCCGACGGTCTTTTATCAATGACGCTGATTTTCTTTAACGTCTTTCTCCTTTCAACGGCAACCTCTCCGATCTCTTTCAATTCCTCGATTGGGTCTTCCGATGCCGAGGGTATTACAAACGTCGGTGATGCAACAATAACGTAAGTTGACGTCTCGGTTAATGTAATTGTCGTCCTGTCTATTAACGTTGAGGTGAGAATGACGTCACGTGTAGCTGGGACATCACGTGATACTGGTACTTCTTTAGTTAACATGATAACATGAGAGGAATATATGTTATGACTAACAAAAAAGTTCGAAGTTTGCACACCAGCTGAAATTATAGTCAAATATTTTAGGAATTAGTAATAAAATGAAGCTGTTAAATTAAACAATGTTTTCATGAAACAAGAGCCGGCTGAACCGGGTGATGCTCCCCGACAAGGATTTGGACACAAAAATGTATATCTTTTGTAGTTTTCAGAGTTATGTCCAAGACAAAGGTCTAAATGTGATAATTCCAAACTTAGGAAATGCAGAGTTATTGTTCTTTGCACTGCAGTTCTACTCAATTAGATCTATCTACCGACTTGCGCGCGACACCTCGTCTTAATATTGTGATCATTTCTGTGAAATAGTTGTAAAATCCGACTTCAAATAACAAAGTTATGGGCCGGACACGATTTTGCTTCAAGGTCATGCTGTGGCCTTGACCTTCAAGGTAGCGACCCAAATGTTGTGCATGACACGTTGTCTCAATATGGTGATAACAATATAATAGGTAAGTACAATATGCATACATACAGAAATAAATGGATGTTGTTCTTGAATTCCATTGTTATTTAATAAAGTAAATGTAGGCAAGAAGTCGTCCGAAAAAATAAATTATGAAACTTTTATTGTTGTCTAGAGAAAGAAAAGCTGAATCAACCCCAGTCGTATACATTCGAATTGTATATTATATTAAAGGTATACCAAAACCACTATGAAAGCTAAAGCTGCATGCCTCCAGATATGTCAAGATCTGACTAGAGCAAATACACTTAGATATTAAGAAAAGGAAAGAAAAAACGATTTGATATTTAAGTAATTATCCACATATTATGTGCAATTATGAATGCTTTTCTCGCTTTACCACCAGATTACTATGCTTTACAAACACAGAAAGGACTGTTTCCGGGAGAAGACCGGTCTGTTTTCAGTTTGACTTTCTGTTAAATTTTCAGGGAAAAACAGAATATATGTAAAAATTAATTCGTCAATTTATATTAAATTTACAATCTGAAATCTGAATTGGCCATTTTCAAGTAAGAAAAATGACATAAAGAATTTATTCTGACATGGTATACCCGTCTAATTTTTAATTGATCGGAAACGAACTCTCTATACATTCATAAGTTCTTTTACTATCAAGTTATATTTAAGTCTGTTTCACCATGCCCTCTTCTACACATTATAAGTTCTATATTGCTATGCATCCTGCAGATTATTTGACACTGTATTCATTGAACTTTTTACATTTCAGATAATGCTTTTTCCTGATGTTTGACGTTTCCCACTTAACACAACTGCATACAAAAATATTCAATCTCATGCATTTGTAACTATTTGAAACATAACTGGTCAAATGAGAAAAAGATACATAAAACACTCAAATGTAACGGTACCTAACCATGATGCTTTTTAAAAAACATCTAAATGCATGAAACAACACTGACAAGGACGCTCTGCTTACTGCGCTATCAAGGCACATGAAAATATGACGTTTTACTTTGTGTTTCATTTATTAGGATACAGTCTGCCTACCTATTTTTTCGCATTTTTATTAATTTTTGTGTAAACATCGGCTCAAGTTATCGTCCTGGGACAGTACTTCGGCAAAAATGGCCCGAGGTAAATATTTGAAAACAACGTGTGAAATATATCCAATATCTAACGCATATAAAACGTTTTTTTTAAACGTTCATGTTTTGGAAAATTAAAATAATTCTGTTATATACATAAAATGAAAAGTATAAAAAAATTTTAAACTCAAACTTTTGCAAGAAGTTATAAATTATCCTTTTAAAATTTCATAGCGGTCTTAAAATGACATAAACTCATAACACGCTTTGCTTGCATTATTATTGTTGTATATAAACCAATTCAAAACATATCTGTGAAAATTAGCCTTCTTAAGGCAATGGCATATTTTTTCAAGTTTGCCCTTTGACAAAAGGGCGGACAACTCTTTGTCCTTTTCTCGTAAGACATGTAAGAGAAGGGAAATCCTGTGATGTTGTATGTGGTTGCACGGTCACTTTCCTCACATCCTCGATGCATGTTTGTGGTTACATGGTCGAAAATCTCTAATATAATGACAACGGTAACAAAAGGCGTTTTGGAACAGTCTGGTGCAAAATCTTTATGTTTTTAAAAAGCTGTTGAAATCATAATGAGGAATGTTGGAAGTCCAATTACGACTTCGTTACTTCTGTATAGGAATAACATCTTTTTTCCTAAATAGGAGAAATAAACCTAAAAACAGCCTTGTAATTCTTAATAATTTTTAAAATCGATTACTGGTGCTAGGGGGCTTGAGAGATGTTGCACTTTTTCATTATCTCTCATGTAAAAATATAGATAGAAACGATAGAAAATGTACACTGTGCCAATGTAATGATATTGAAGACGAATACCATTTTATTTTAATATGTCCAATGTATGCTTTACTTAGAAATCAGTATATTCCTAGGTATTATCATAGACACCCGAGTATGCTCAAACTCACACAATTGTTGAATTCTACAAATGTAAAGGTCTTAAACAAATTGGCTCTGTTTTGCAGAAATGCTTTTGAATTAAGAACAAATGAATTAATTCTTTGTTATGATATGATGAAATATGTAAAGTTGTTTGCATGTTTATAATATGATATTTACATTATTACTATGTGCATGTAAAATTTGTTGTATGTAACGATGAACTGTAAATGTTCAAGTTAGATTCAAATAAAATTTCTGTTCTGTTCTGTTCTGTTCTGTTCTGTAAAGACTCAAACCGAGTCTGCAATTTTCTGATTAATGTTTCCGAGGGATCACACCTTTTCAAGATTTTAAAATCCTAATAGCAAGAAATAAAAAATTATTAGGAGTTGAGCAATTAAAATCTTAACTAAGAAGAGCTTCAAAAGACTATATACAGAATAAAAAAGTTTTTTTAAACTTCTTACATACAAATAAAGTTTGCAAAGTTCTTTTGAACGCTTGCGCCATTTGCAATGTTGTCAAAGGAGGTCACTCTTATCGACTCTTATTGAAGCACAATAGTAACCTCCCTTTGGAACCCTTACCTCATTTGTAATGTTATCAGGGGAAGTCACTCTAACAGCAACCTCCCTTTGAATACTTACACCATTTGCAATGTTGTCAAGGGAGACCACTCTAAACGACTTGATTTGCAGAGTTACAGTAATCTCCCTTTTAAACCCTTACACCACTTGCAACGCTACCATGGGAGGTCACTTTAACCTACGCAGTGATCTCCCCTTATCAGTACAAAGATCTCTACAGAGATCAGTACAGAGATTGCCAATGTTATCAGGGGAGGTCACTCTAACCGACTCTATTTTGAGCGCGCAAGTGTAACCTCCCTTTTCATTTGACAATC